CTAAGTTATATTTCTCTCCATTTATTTTCGGTCCTCTTAAAATAGATGTTTACTCTTGAGGTAGGTGCTGCTTCGTCTCTTGTTTGACTTATCCCCTGTAACATCCTAAGAGGGAAATGAAGTTGTATTTTCACCTCTTACCTAGAAGTGTTGCTACAATGGACACAAGGCCGGTTCCCGCCCCAATTTCCAGGACTGCCTTGTCAGTGAGGCTGATCTGTTCACGATTAGTGTCCAAGTAGTGACAGAGAGTCAGAGCCTGAGGGGAATAAATAACACAGAAATATAAGTAAGATTGCAAATTAATAATCAGGCTTCTTGGCTCAGAACCACACTGTGACTTGTGATTGCATCATTAATCATATAGAATAAGTATGACTTGTTTGATGCTGCACAAAGGTACTGTATATCATATTAGAAAACTCAATAAAAGCCATTACTTACAGCTGGCCATATCATGCCTGCGAAGGAGTCAAGACCCTCTTCAATGACGATCTTCTGCCCGACATAAGAGTACACCTCTCTACCCACTTTGCAGTAGAAACACGGAGCCCAGGCGGGTTTCTGATGCTTCTGGATGGCTGATTCATCTAGATCACTGTGGTCTGAATTAACATTAGGTCCCTCACCTTTTGTTTTTAATGGCATCTTACCCTTTTCCTCTTCTTTATCTTCTTCATCCTTGTCTTCTATGTCCTCTTCTACCTCTTCACATTCCTCCTCCTCCTCCTCCTCCTCCTCCTCCTCACATTCCTCTCTGATTCTAACAGAACTGATTTCCTCCACATTGTATGAGAACAAAGTAGCCATATAAATCCCTTTGTTCTGGGAAGAGATAGATATTTATTTGTACAGAGCTTAAATTAAACTTTTTTTTAATGTAATTATATATATGTTTTTCATGTTTTTGATATAATACATAGAACAATATTGAAAAAAAGTTCATTTGAAATAGATGAGAGGGTATACAACCGTATTGGCAAGATTATCAAATTATCTGTTTTTTGTCTTTTTTAGTCTAATTTTGCCATGTTTATATCAGAATCTTAATCATAATATTCAATTTCTTGTAATTCTCACAGCTGTCAAGTCAAAACAAAACTAGGGGAAACAAACCCCTCCAGTATGATCTTTACAAACAGACTTAATTAACAGTTTTCTTATTTTAAAAAGAGTATCTAACATGGAAGACATGTAAAGTAATCTTATTTTTGTTTAAAAACTTCTATCAAAATGTAGTTATACCACACGTTTTTCAGAACCAATGGAAACCACACATCTAAATAACCTAAATGTAACTATTGACCTACCTGCTGCTGCGTTGATCTGCAGTAAAAGACCTGAGAGGCGATTGCACATGCATCTGGAGACCTGAGAGCTAGGTTATAGAGACACAGCATCCTGCAGGACACACCCATCACCATCACAAGGTCACGAGGGTATTTTTAGAGCCATGCCCAGGAGAAATAAACACAAGTAAGATACAAGAGCAGGGGTGCACGCATGTATGGACGCAACCCGACACTGACGAAGATGACTCAGTGGGTGAGCCAAAAGGAAAAGGAGAATGACGGGAATGTATTGATACAAACATATCCTTGCCTCCAATGTCCCGAAAAGACTTTCCCAAAGCTTCCACGGTCTGTATCCTCATAATTTATTTAGTATAATTGTATGTCAATACTCAATCATTTGTGCAATAACTCCACTGAGTTATTCATTCTTCTGTGATGAAATAGCTGTTTTTATTTTTGGGATTTTTGGTTCAAATCAGCCCAGAGATTGCACACCAGGCTGGCAATGCATTGGCTTCACTCAGTCTACAAATAGCAACAGAGACACACACAGAAGGGACGCAAACTCTGATGAAAACCAGACCAATACATGTTTGTGTTTGTCTCTGAAGCATCTGAGTTTAAAATTTCAAATCCTGCAAAAGTTATTCTCATTTATTTAATGATGTTGAATAAATGAGAATAACTTTTGCTGTCACTTCTGCTGCAATATTTGTCAGACAATATCGATAACCAAGGATTTTGTTTATCATGCAAAGGTCTATGTTTATTTCTCACACACATAGTCTGGAATGTGTCCATGTCTTGCTTGCTTGCTTGCATTTCCTGCAGTGGCCTCAATTGCTTCAGCAGAGACGTTACAGGATCAGGCTGGATTGCAATCCAAATGCATCATCGCCATGAGAGGAGAACTGGGTGTCCGTCGCATTAACCTCAATAAGACCTCCCTTGGTTACCTTTTACAACCTAAGACCATGCAGTATCACCATCAAGTTTTCAGTGGCGTCAATTTAAATCCACTTAACATCCCAACAGTTGAAATCCATCCAACACCTTGGCACGGTTTCAAGAGTTCACAGGGAGAGTGTAGTGTAAATCTACAACTTATTTATTTTTACTTTTACTTTTTTGTACTTTTCGACTCTTTTTTTTTCTTATAATGCTGTTCTATTTTATATATAATTTTAACTTTTTTTGTAGAAGCTGACTCAGGGAGAAACGCACAAGAATTCCAATGTACCTGTACTGTCCTGTACCTGTGCAAATGGCAATAAACATCTATTCTATTATATTCTAGCATGAGGTCATCGTCCTACTGTGTTGATGTGGAGCTCTGTTTGGAGAGAGTTTAAAAGCTTGATGACAAGCAGTTCCTGTCAGTCAGTAAGTTTGTTATAAGATACTGTTGAAAGATAAACCATTTATTTATCTAAGGCCACACAGTTGTTGAGCATGTGTTTATCTTGACGAAGCCAAGCGGCACATGACCTTTATAAAATAAGGACAGAAATCTGGAATCATATCTTAGATATCAGATTGAATAGGTCTTAGTGATAGATGGCCTCTCTCAATCAGGCTTTCCAACATATTAAAGTTAACTGGTGGGTTTCCAAAACATTCTAAATTTGTTTGACACATTGGTGTTCATGTCACTCAATCAGTAAAAACAGCCCAATATAAATGTTGTCATTAATTTGACCATCTTAAGGGGTTTCAAAGGCTGAACATGTCCTAGGGATTTCTATTAAAATAAAAAATGTTTGCTGCAAAAACTAATTAATTTGTTGTATTTTGTAGTGCTGATCTTTATGACAATTTTTAAATGTAAAGTCAAAATGCTTTGTTCATAGCAGATGGGATGGGGATGGACTTGATTGAGACCAATCATTTTCTGCTGTACTATTGGTTTATATGATATGATCAAAACGGATGTTCCATTATATTTGTGTTATTCAGCGTCATCTGTTTGTCCCATCATGCAAGGGTGATTAAAAAAGTCATAATATTAAAAAGTAATTAAATATTCTTATAAAATTACAAATTAACAATGTTGTGCTTTTATTATGTTCACAAGTAAATGTAATTACCAGTAATAAAGATGAGACTTTTCATTTTTAGGCTTCTTAAAACAAATGTCACTGAAAACAATAATAGAAGTTTATCCTGGCGATGCAAAGGATGTAATGTACAAGTTGTTCAAATGTTTTTCTGTGTCCACACAGGGACAGTTTAAACATTATCCAGTGCCCTTATAATCATATTTTGAGATATGTTTAATCCTCCTCCTTAATTTGGGTCCATTGTTCACTCTCTTTTCACTCCTTAATAATAGTACATGGTTCTAGTAGTAGAAGTTGGTCTGGTAGCTGGAGAGGTGCCAGATCGCCTCCTGAGCACTGCCGAGGTGCCCTTGAGCGAGGGCCACCACCAGCTCAGCAGCACCTACTAGGGGTGGCTCCGTCACCCTGACATCCCTCCATTAGTGCAACATCCTGTTTGTGCATGTGTGTGTATTTCAGCCTATTTATGTGTTGCATGACTACAGAGTGTAAAAACAGAATTTCCCCTCGCGGGATCAATAAAAGTAAATCTTAATCTTAATCTTAATAACAAACTTGCAACCGTAAAGCTGTAGGTGATGAGCTGATTGAATGTAACACAAAGTTTGAGTGATAGCCTACGAAGAAGGTCATGCTTATTGAGCTGTTTGTTTGTCAGCTAGAAAAGACCACTGGCCAGCTTTTCCTGGAACTTGAATATAGCGTGTAACAAATGAAAGTGGTTCCATCATATCTACATGAAGTGGAAGACTGGGCTATGGAGCTTTCATGGCAGCTTGACTCTCTGAGTGGTCCTCACTCCAGGTTCATCTCTACATCTTTCACGTTTCACTATTTTCAAGTGTCAGGCATGAACTCTTTAAGGACATTTCAACCCTTGCTGCCAGGCGTAGCTCTAAAAATAACACTTAGCGATGCTGCCTACATTTGAGGCATCCTTTCAATAATGTTTGAGATACTAAAACAAATATAGAATTTGCTTCTCCTGTCGTTGTGGAAAGAGGCACTTAGCAGTTAAAAAACAGGTCATATTGTCCATCCATGTTGAGTCACACAGCAGTACACCTCCTGATGTAAAACCAAAACATCTCAGATGTCATCTGGAAAAATGCAGAGATATGTTTGCCAGTATCATCATTGCTTTGAGCTGGACCCAAAAAACACAGTCACAAAAACTTGAGTAACTTAAGGGACTGAAAGTGATCATCTCAAGATATTCTTTACCTATGTGACCCAAATCGGCAAAAACCTTTCCATAAATACATAATTCTCACTTACTAAACACACGCAGTGTTTCCATATATTCCACTGTTGCACTTTATTGAAGTATTAAACGGCATCAAAAGCAAAAGTTCTGACTTCAATCTGGCTTCACAGCTTTTGCTAACATTTGAAAGGTTAAATTCCATTTTAATTTAGGAAGTTATGTGTGCTGTGAAAAGATTTTGAATGAATGAATTGTTTTGACACTGAATAATTACTGGTATAAAAAAAACATGTAAAACATTTCAAAGTCAAAACACACTCATATTTTAATGTCTTTCATAAAGCTTCAAGGTAGAATTTGTACATGAGGTCCATGAAAACATATTTCAGAATAAATAAATAAACTCCATCAGGTATCAGACATGACAAACAAACAAACAAACAAACAAACAACACACATACACACACACACACACACACACACACACACACACAAGCAAGTGAAACAGTTCAGCCTGCAGCCTCTCTTTGGTCCTTTGTCCTCAGCCTTCCTCCAGGCTCGGTACAGTTTGATACTCAGACTCGGAAGGTCGTACAGCATCTCCAGGTGGAAGCGTTGCTGAAAGCGATCCACAAAACTGTTCTCTGGGTCCAGGCGAAAGCGCATGGCCCACAGGATCTGTGTGTTATCCTGACACAGGTGGTCAAAGGTGTCCATCAGCTCATCCAGGAACGGATGAGCATACACCACGTCAGCTGCCAGGATGTAGTCGAAAGAGTGTGTGGCATGAGGTAAACGCTGCTCCACCTCCTGACCCCAGATCAGCTCAGTGACCTGGAAACAGATGATTTAGGATTAATTCACACAGTATCAAACCAATCATTTTCATAAATTATTTCTAAGTTTTTTTAGTAAAGGAAAAGTCCACTTATGCACACTCTCGCTGGGTAAATACTTCAGTTGTTTATATCTGAACAAACTTACCAGTGGGATGTATTTGCATCTACCCTTGGTGTTGCGCAAAACATTGTACTGGAGGTTCCCCAACACATCAGGAAGGTCAGTGGAGGTAACCTTAGCACCTGCAGAGAGACAGTGCAGGAAAGTATTGGAAGGTATGACATACAAACAGCAACAGAAAAAAAAGGGATTCAAAATAACGGAAAATAGGTCCAAAATATAAAAAACAATTCATGATTGTCGCATTTCCATACCTAACAGGCTGGCTACGATGGTGACCAGCCCAGTTCCAGCTCCCAGTTCAATCACGTTCTTGTCTGTTAGGTTGTAATTGTCTCGGTTGGTCTCTAAGAAATGACACAGCACCATCGCCTGTTAGAAGAGAAGACTTTAGATTTTAGTTCACTGGCAGCGCTGAAAACAAGGACTGGGAACGAAAACATAAAAATATTGTGATAATGCACAACTGTTGGGTGTACCGAGGGCCAGAGCACAGCACCGTAAAGGTCTGTGGACTCTTTGATCCTGATCTGCTGATCATTAAACATGTATCCCTCCCAGGCCTCCGCGGCGATCAGAGAGGGGTGGAAACATCGAGCCATTATGGCTTTGGATAGTTCTGCATCTACAGCAGCACCTGCAATGACAACCACTGGAGATATGGTTATTGTAAAAAAACAACATATTAAGACAGAGCTTAAAAGGTTGATATAGCGTAATTAGATGACATGTATCTTTAATTAATGTAATAAATTGCAACTTTTCTAATCCTAAAAATTCTCAAACAGCTTCAGATTGAAAAGCTAAATGAACTGTTTTAAAATCTCTTCCGTGTCCACCTCGATTGGTTGTGCATTAGGGTCATTGATCTCGATGTCTTTCTCTTTTTTTGTTGTGTTTTTTTATGTCAGTCCTTTGCAATACGGGTAATGTTTAATCTCTTTCATTTGTGGTTTTCATTGGTATGTGATTTGCTGTTTACATATGATATATTTGTTATAATTATTTTTATTTATTTTGTACTACTGCCGAGACATCTCATCTTACTACACGTACGGTATCGTACCATAAAGTGCCGTACTGTACCGTATCGTATCGTACTGAATCTTACCGTATCGTACCTTATCGTATTGAACCGTATGGTACAGATTCTTTGGTAGTGTAACTTCAACAAAAAATGCACATCCAACCTTAAATATTTGTTTTACCTCCACTTGTGTTACATGACAGAGTATGCAACTAACAATTACATCCATTCAAACTGAAACGCTCTCATCATAGATTTGCTATCAATACAACACAAATCACGCTCAGAAGTTGCTATTTTGCCTGACACTGACAATACAAATTATTTGATTTAGTGACCGGACTATACAAGTGGATCATGCACCATTCTCCCGCAAGGGGAAACAGTGGTCCCAAATAGAACCAGTCCAAACACAAAAGAGTTGACTGAAACACACTTCATTTCTTATTAGTTTAATTAGTTAAAGCAAAAATGCATAGGAAATAGTTCACATCGAAGACTTTAGGTGGACTTAAATAACAGGGACATTGGAACCAACTGAAATGGTTGATTGCAGAGGAGTGAAAGCATTAAGATCATTGAAGCAATCTTATGAATTATGAATGAATTATGAATACAAGAAAATGTGTTTGTCTAAATGCTCTAAAAGTAGTTTGATTATCTACTAACCCTAGGAGCTGCAGTCTCAAAACAAAATGAAAGAAAGTCTGTAAACAACAGCATAATAAGACCGCAGGGCTCCAGTGCCATAGCAATTGTTGTTTTGTATTCATTTTGGTCGCCTCTGCAGAACACCTAAACCTCATCATTGAAAAAAAATAATTCAATCAAATTGATGAGTATTCATGCTGTGTTTCCCTCAATCTGACATGACAGGCAGCTTTGGATTCTCCGCTCTATAAATGAAACATATTAAGGCTCATAAAGCACATCTACTCTGTTTGTTACACTGTGCCAGAGTGTTTTCTGTCCCCAGCTATGCATCAGGGTCGACACATAACTTCAGTTATGTAAGGCTGCTTTAGAAACGAGGTCAGGGGAGCCCACAGAGCCATAACGCCAAAGTTTGAGGCAGGCCAAGGAGAGCTTGATTTATTGCTTTTGTGTGTATAAATATCTTTGTAACGTTAACAGGCAGAGATACAAATGTTTGTTGAGAATAATTTTATGCAAGCGGTGACTTCAGTGTCACACTAAATGGTCTGCAGGGTTTTACATCTGCATACCTTCCCACAAATATTTGCCAAAAACTTAAGCCTGTTGGGATTTTTTTTTGCGTGAAGGCAATGAATAATTATTGCAGCAGAAATAAAAAAAGCTTCACTCTAAATTCTCACCTTCCTCTTTGGTGTCCTTAGTTGCCTTGGCCTGTGAAGACTCCATGTCTGAAGGAGTCCAAGTAGGAGGGCAAAAACGCCCAACAAGGAAACCAATCTTAAGCAGTCTAATGCTGTTCCTGCTTTCTTGGATTTAGGTCAGGATCTCCTGCAGGACTCTAGTGGTCACCTTCTCTGCTCTTAAATTACACACAAATACAATGTTTCCAAACTTCTTGTCCCAACACCCCTCCAACTCCACGAGCCTCAACTCCACCCTGCACGTCTTACTCTCGCTGGGCATGCTTGGACTCCTCTCTCCCATGCAGTTACAAAGTGACAAACAGCAACAGGTGCTCCGTCTCTCTGCTGAACTGGAGCTGGGGAGTGAAGCTGAGGAGATGCATTTCCTGAATTTAACCAACAACTTAAAATAGACCTATGTAGGTGTTATAGAGTGATAGAAACCTCAGCTGTTCATTCTGAGATATTGTTTTTTTCACATACCAAAGCCTCTATGATTGTTTATGTGTCATGCAGAGTTCAAACCTTGAGATGTGATAAATGATCTACTGAGGACATAGTTCAACGTCACAGCGGGACACATTTAATGCAAAATATCTTCAGTCTTTGTCCAAATATCATCAGTCACATTAATAGAAAAGCTCAATTCATCAGTACAAATGACCTCATGATTCATTGACATATTCACATTTACATATCAAATGAAATATCAAAGAACTTTTTGTATGACAGTGTGAAGTTCAGTTTTTTTCTTTTGTCTTCCTCCCCCTGCCTTTTCCTCTCATATTTCCCCTTCCCCTTGTATTTTTTCCCCCTCGGCCTCGTCTGCTGCCGTCGAACACCGACCGGGCTGTAACCATAGCAACTTCATCACCGCCATCATCGCTGTCCTCGCTGGAGCTGCTGCTCCTCCTACTGGCCCTCTGTGTTGGAGTCTTACTAGACTGAGGGGCTTTGACTGAGAGGGACTCCTGGATGCTGCAGCTTACTTCCTTCTGAGATGTAACAGAAGGTTCAACACGTACTTCTGACCCCAGAAATCCTCCTCCCGCTGCTGCTGCAGGCCTCTTCTCCTCACCCCTCTCTACTCCTGCTCCTTTCATCGGACTCTCACTTGCTGTCCTTCCCTTCTTGGATTTGGATGGTGAAAGCGTTTCCTCCTCACTGTCCTCCTCGTCCTCCTCTCCTCCTTCTTTCTTCTTCCTCTTCATGCAGGTGACGGCTCGACGGAGACGCTGACTGCGGATCGTCTGCTTCTCCTGTTGCTCCATGCGGAAGAATGAGTCGATCCGCAACTGAGTCTGATCCAAAACAGTGAGAGATACGGAATAGACAATGTCAAACTTTAATCTGGTTTTATTCAGCTCACTTTTTCAAACTCATATTATCAAAAGGGAAAAATCAAGGGAGTTTCCAGGTATCCCTGATAGTGTGTTTACTGAACGGATGATGTTAAAGTGTTGCAGACGTGGACTGTGACTGTTTCGAGTTTTAGAAAATGTAGTTATTTTAAATGCTTTTAATCAACTGTCGCTTAAATATGAATGAAAAATAAAATATTGTGGTATTTCATATTGTCATTTAGCTAGATTTTACATACACAACACTTATGCAACACAGCTTAGTGGTCATTATAAATATAAAGGAAAATCTACAAGACAACAATTTATAATTTTCCACAAAAATATTTATTTTATTATTTATTTAACATTTATTTATTGAATTTTTTTTTTTTTTAAATTATTAACAATTAAGTGCACATCTCTCCCTTAGGACCAAATGAAGCCCTGGCTGGGAGTTCTGGTTGAGAATTCTCTCGGTTACCTGCTGGCTCTGGAGCTGCTTGATTACAGGCTGAAGAGTCTCCTCGGTCTTTCGACTGCTCCAACCAAAACGACTCAGACAGAACTTAAAAGAGAGGTTAAGGAAACTGCACACACTAACACACAAAATACATGTGTTCACACACGCACACACAGAGAAAAACTTTGAAAGGATATTCTTTGATCATGTCGAGTTGTGGGCGTCCCCAGCTGAAGGAGCTGTCTGACTGGTCCACAGCAGGCTGGAGGTAAGCCTGAGCCACTGCAGGGCTGGGAAACCCCGTCTGCAGTTTGAGAGCTCTCAACTTCTTCTTAACCTTCGTGTCCCGAGGATTAGAAACCAGACGCTTTTTCTCCTGAGCCTCGGACCACCAGTTACTAATAACAACCACCAATAAACAAAATCACTGACATTAAAAAGTGCAATATGTTATGAAACTAAATGTGTATGTATTTTGGAAATTGCAGGTTTAAACATCCTAAACTCTACATCTAAACTCTACACTTCAGGACATGAGGGCACTCAAAGCTCCTGTAACTGTCCAAGCCATGGGAATGTGAACAGGTCTGATTAACTGTGAAAAGTTACCATGTATGTGTGTGTACATGTAATCACTTGTGTGGTTGGCTGTATGCGTGGCTATGTTTGCCAAGTTTTTATTTCATGCTTTTTTACTTTTCGGTGTTTGTTCGTTAGGTGACTCGTGTGGTGTAGAAATAAAATGGCTATTGTATAGATGGTGTAGCAACCCTCAGGTGGGCATAGCTAAGATAGGATCAAACAAAGAATCAATGATCAATGTGCTCTGTACTCACATTAGTTCACATTTTTTAGTAAACATCTATCACTTAAGTTCTGTTTATTGTTTAGAATAAGGAAATAGAAAATACAATTCTGTATGAGGTCAGGATTTGGTCATGTTAGTTACTTTAGGACATTTAATACTGCCATCAGCTGTACTCAGCTGTGCTTAGTTAAATCCTAGTTGTATATATTCACATTCTTAGTTTTGATATTTTTAGTACTTATTTACTTTGTATTTAATATTATATTGTGCTTAGATTTGCTAACATTGTGTTTTTTACTTATATTGTGTGTTTGGATAACCTGCTGCTGTAACACCACAATTTCCCAGTTTGGGATCAATAAAGTAATTCTATTCTATTAAATAGAAGTTGATATTGATCAACTAAGTTATAACACAATAAACTACAGATATCCCAAATACATAAATATAAATATAAATGTGCTGCCATCAAGATTGTAGAAAGTGAGTGTAAAAGATGTTAAAGCCTAAAACATAAATGAAAATGTAGAATATATGTGTGAGTAGCTAAAAGATGAACAAAAACTCAGAAAATGTAAATGTTCAAGCGACACAAACCTGAACTGTATGAGCGGCTCAAGGCCGGGCCCAGGAAACTCATTTAGTATCTCCATGCCGGTCACATATCCCACACCAGGAATGCCCTCGGTGTAGTCACTCCCCAGCAGATAAGCCAAGTTGATCAGTTTAGTTCTGTCCAGACCTGAGCAAGAAATAAAGATGGAAAAAAATTAAAAAGAGAGAGAGGGAGAGATGTAGAGGATTGTGTGGCCATGTGTGTGGTCAGTCTACTAACTGCCCATCAGTCAGTTCAGGATCAAAACACTCATCATGTCATATTTTCTTTTACTTGATTTTTTCTATCTAAATTGAATTTAAGACAAATTAAAAAAATCAGAGAAAAGTAAGAGTCTTAATAAACAGGACCAGAATATATACTACTTCACAAACAAATATTAACTGCCACAAAACCTTTTCTTGATCTGCTGACACATAAATACACACAGATATGCACACACAAAAACAGACAGACACACACACACACACACACACACACAGGGAGGAACCCGGCACTGACCCAGCTGGTTCTGCATGTCGCTGAATTGGAAGTGTTCGACATATTTGTTCTGGCTGAAGAAGTTCTTGTAGACGTGTCGTCCTCCAAACAGCCACACATCAGAGTCGTCTGTGATGGTGCCGTTTGTGTGGTCGGCGCGGTCGAGCGCGGCACACTGAGCCTCCGCCTCCATCGGAGCCACCAGGAACGGGATGCCGAACAGCCGCAGCAGCTCCTGGGATCAAGCAGGAGGAGCGGCCATTACTCTCACAACACCACCCTACATACCAAAGCTAATCTGCACACAGCAGAATACCATCAGTATGTCCAGTTGTTTCTTCTGATGGCTTGAAGACATTGACAAGAATTTAAGGACCGGGATTTTAAAACTGTCACCCTTTTATCTGAGTGGGCAGGTTTCTGTCGTAGACTGAGGAATAGGTTGGCACTTATCACTTTTATCTAAAACAGTCAAAAAGATGAGGGACTTCACAGGTTTCTACTAAGTGGTGATTTTATGAAGGAGAAACAGTTTCTAGGAGCTCTTGGACAGTTTGGCAGAAGTATCAAAAAGAAATATTATCCCTCCTGTCTGTCCAACACCCTCTCTGGATTGTCATATTGGGTGTATAAACAGGTACTCATATTTTGATTGTTATAAAACAATCATTATTCTGTAACTAAGGTCTGTAAGGTCAACAATGCTCTTCATGATAGATATGAGGGTGGAATTCCTCCGTGTTTTACATGTGTCTGTAATGTTTATAAGACTTCTAATGTTTGAAGGTCACCTGACTCTCCAGGTACATCTGTCCAGTGACAGTGTTAGCCATCCTCTCCTGCTGCTGTTTCCGCTCCCTCAGGTTGTTCTGCTCCACCTCCAGAGAGCTCTCCATTGCCTCCAGCTCAGCCTACAGCACGCACACACACATTACATATTAAAAAGCTGACCACAGGGGGAAACAAGATGATATGTTGTCAGATATTTTAACCTTTAAGTATCCGTATCTGCCCCAGAAATCGAATGACTAACCCCCCCAGGCTAAAGTAACAAAGTAACATTCGTATTTTTGCAAGAATAACAAAGAATAAATAAATACCTGAAATAATATAGGACTTGTGCGCAGCAAGCTACAAACTAAAACTTATTTTTAAAGTAAATGATATGGAATTTAGGTCAATGGACTCTTTAAAATAGTTGAGGCTGACCAATTCATCGGCCAGCCTATAATATAGACCGATATTAGCATATCAAATGACTATCTACAGTATATCGGCTAACTTTATGCAGATATGTGCCGATATTACAGGATTTAGTCACCAGTCAAATAGCGTTTCATTTGAGTATCTAGTGTTAAACTACAAGTTCTCTTTCACCAGCTGGGTGTTCTTTATGATCACAACAAGCATAATCACTCTCAGTGTCAAGCGGTGATGCACGTACATGCGCAGTTACTTCTCGAAGTGTTTCATTACTGCATTTTAGGGATCAACACAATAAATGTGTATATCTATATACAGTATATATCCATCTATACCTACAGATCAAAGATAGATCTAAGAAAGATATCGGCCAATATATCGGTATCAGATTTTTTCTCTCCCTAATATCGATATCGGTACTGGCCCTGAAAATCTGATATCGGTCGGGCCCTAGTTAACATTAAAAACTAAGCTTTTACTTTTTCTGACATCACTCACCACATCGAAATGTTCCCACTCATTGACGGCTGGAGTTGAGTTCGACTCTGTCTCTTTTTCATCCTTCAGCTCTTCCTCTTCAGCCCGACTCTCCTCCTCCTCCTCCTCCTCTCTTCTTCTTCTTCTTCTTCTTCTGATGTCACAGCAGCGTTCGGTTCACTTTGAGCCTCCGTCAAACATTCCACCAGTTTGTCTTCTGTCTTTGTCACAACTGCCTTGGCTTTATCTGGAGATCCTTTTTCTCTAATCATCACAGGGGAATCATCTTCATCCTCTTCTTCCTCTGACACCACGATGAAGCTCTCTGGGGAAAAAAAGTGTTTTTTTTTTTTATCATCTACTGGTTTAAAAAAAAAGTATGAAAAAGTGTGATTTAATAGACTTAGTGTACCTTCTGACTCACTCTCCTCACCGGCCTCTGGTTTTACATCATCAGGAGTATCATAGTCTCTGTAACACAAGGCTTTTCCCTTATCTGAGCAGAGGGACTGATGGGTAATTTTTTCTGATTTGATGTAGCAGCAGCCTGTGGTCGAAGCAAATCTCTGTTCTGTCTGATCAATGCATGCTCTGATTCTCTTCTCTCCAGCTCTTCTTCTTTCTTCTCTGTCTCTCCTCTACTTCCTGTCCTTGTATCCTCTGTCAACTCTCCTTTCTTTGCATCCTCTCCTGCCTTCTCCTTTGGTTGTTGCAGCACTGCACCGCGGAGTGCTTTATTTCTCTGACCAATCACTTCCTCAATCTCATCTTCATAACTGCCCACAAACAAACTATCCTGCACATGTGAACTTTGGCCTGCTGTGCTCCCTACATAATCCGATGTTTCTAGAGATGGAGACTTCACTTTGTCTTGTTCCATCTCTTCGTCTGAGCTGCTGATGACCACAGGAACTTTAAGCTCTACCTGCCGCTTGGTGGACGCACTGCTGATTAGAGTCCTGTGTTTGGTAGGAGCATCATCCTCAGATAGAGCTTCTTGGATGGCCAGCAGGGTACGTGGAGACAAATTTGCGTCCCCTTTATCCCGCTCCGTCTTCTCCTCATCTGAGCTAGTGTAGATCGCAGACTGGATAGCCTCCAGCGTGCGAGGTGAGGGTGGTGACGTGTCCTCCTCAGAAGGTTTTGAGACAGAGGGTTTGACCTCCGTTGAGGAGGGAACTTGGACTTTCCCCTCTTCCTCACCAGCAGGACGCCACAGAGGCTCTGGTCTGCCCACTACTGGTCTTTTCCAGCCTGACAGAGAGCTCCCAGACCAGGGGTCAGCTGCAGGTCGGCTCTCAGGGACGGTCTCATTCTTTTTAGAGCCTTTATGGGAAAAAATGTCATTTGTTTTCATTTGAGACTAATTCCTTATGACACAGCAGTGACTATTAAGGAAGTACTTTATTTTTAATGCATTCAAGAAATCTAACAACTGATATCGGACGATTATCCTGTAACGTACAAAACCTGTAAAAAAAAAAAAAAAACATAAAATAATTGCACTCACCTTTAATAAGGATGTAATGGGAATGGTCTTCAGAGACCAGTCTCTGAGACTCTACGTTGTGACTTTGTGTGTCCCCGTCCTCATTGTAGAGCTGTGGAGCACTGCCAGCACTCTGCTGTCTCATCTCTTTCTCCACTCCAACCAGACGCTGGTTTAGCTTATTCCTCTGCAGCAGGCCTGCAAGCTGGTACTGCGAGAAGTCTCCAGAACGCTAAGAGTGAAGTAGAACCCATTTAAGGAGGAGAAGATTGGTAGATTGTTGTGTGTGTGTGTGTGTGTGTGTGTGTGTGTGTGTGTGTGTGTGTGTGTGTGTGTGATGACTGTGAGAGAGAGAGCGAGAGAGAGAGAGAGCGATCAGTACCTCAGGAGGTTTGTGGTACATGGTCCGGCGTCTCTTGGAAAACTCTTTCATCTCTTTGAGTATCTCGTGTTTCATTTCAGGAGGCAGGCAGGAAAACTCCTCAGAGTTGATATCCACCGAGTTGGGATCTTGATACAATTCTCCCTGAGACACAGTGAGCAGCCTGGCTTTACATGTCAATAATTCAACAGTGGATTCATACAAACAAAAGGCCAGGTGAAAAGGACAAATAACATAAGACGTAATAATGTGATGATAGTGGTATTTTCTTTTTGGAAAAAAAAACTTAACAAGAAGAAATGATGGTCAAAAGGAAGACTTGACACCAAAGATTATTAATACACAATTATTACTTTGTTACCAGTGTTTTAACTATTGAAGGTAAATGATAACGGTACATTATAATTTGATGCTCTTGGGAACTTTATATTTACCTGATACATTTGAAAGTTATCTTCTGGCTCCCCCGACTCGTTCTCCTCTTCTTCCTCCTCTTCTGAACTATAAGAATAAATTTACAATAAAATGATTATAAGTGTCATTGGTGAAATATAAAAACAAAAAGGGTTCATATAAACTTCTCCCTTGTAATAGAAATTAAGGAGCTGGTTTCTATTAAAATCAGTAAATGCAAAATTTTTCCTTTTTTTTTTAAATACAGTTTCAAGTTAAAGTTACAGCGCAATAAAAGACAATTATGTAAATGTACCTGTTTGGTCATCTTGGCCTGACTATTAAGGTTGAGACATGTACCAGTCTACATAACAGTTTTAAAAGGGAATGGATTGAAAACTCAGGTGGGGGTTGTACTCGGACCTGCTTTTGTCCTTTTCATCTGCCTCTGGCAGCGCCGGCAGAATGTACATGTCGTCCACCTCATCTCGCCTCACACTGGAGAGGCTGGGGAGAGGGTCCTTACTGTGGAGGTGAAAAGAGCAGAGGAGATGGGAGGAGGATGACGCAGAACATGTTTCTAAAGCTACTGTTCTGAGGTCTTGTGATGCGTTTTTCTACTCAATGCCTCCATGTCTCCTCTACCTGTGGTCTCCAAGTGCAGCTTTAATAGCTTGTCTCTTCAAGAATGTCTTGAGGAGTTTCTCATTGGTCTGTTTGGACTCCCGACTCAACTCCTCTTTCCTCTGCCTCCTCAGAGCCTGCAGAAAAGCCACAGATAAAAGAACTTGCTAAATGACACAACAGGAACTCAGTTGACGTGGTTTTGGGATAGGTGGGTTTTTTTTTTCTGCTTCTTTGAAGCACAAGACATACAAGAGTCTGCTTCTTCAGCAGCGGGGCGTCCCCATCAAACACAAACACCGGCCTGATGCGGAAGAACAGCAGCTTGCAGACCCGGTGGAAGAGAGTGAGGAGGTGGGCGTTCTGCACGCTGTTTCCATCCCGGTCTCTCACTCCCTTCACTGCCTGGTTCAGCCATATACTGATGTCTGGAGGAGGCGGGTTAAGGGTAATGCTGTGGCTTTACAGAACACAGGCAGTAGCATCAATTCGTCAGACACAAAGATTAAGCTGAGAACATTGATCACCACAGAGTCAGGATTCTCACTCCCTTCACTGCCTGGTTCAGCCATATACTGATGTCTGGAGGAGGCGGGTTAAGGGTAATGCTGTGGCTTTACAGAACACAGGCAGTAGCATCAAATCGTCAGACACAAAGATTAAGCTGAGAACATTGATCACCACAGAGTCAGGATACCAACAGCAAGGATCTTCCCTTCCAGGGTCTCGGGGTTGATGGGTTTCCCGGTGCTCTCAAGCAGCCTCCAGAGTCCGTGCACCCCCATGACCACTACTCAGAAACTCCCAGCGGAGATTTCGTGAATATCAGAAATTTAAAACCCAAAACAGGTTAACTGTGCTTCAGTATTGAGAACATTTTTTCTTTCCTCCAGATTGGAAACTGGAGATGAGGTGTTGTCGCAACACTATTTTTTTGCCCGTAGGGAAAATAATGTTGGCGCAAAAAGGTTCCGCGTCAAGTTAATAATAAATAATAATAATAATGATAAATACTAACATCAACAACTTCACACAGTGTCCATTTTCTTATCTACTTTAAAATGTAAAATAGTCTGATTAATTCATCGGTTTTGTTTTATTGGGGGAATATTTCAAGTAAACTATTCGGATTTTTTTTTTTTTTCTGTAGAGGGGACGGGACGGAAATGGAAAGGCTTTAAGGTACTTTTACCCTCAGCGAGTACTGCCAGGTTTACTTGGGTAACTTGGCTACTTAGCAGTGATGAACATGTTATTGTAACACATGCGAATGGTCAGTGTAAATGTTGGAAACACACTTCGGTTAACTGATATGTACAAAGTATCCCGTGACTATCGTTTACATTAGTATTTACACACGCGGCTGACGGGGAGCCTTGCCTAAAGGATAAAACTCAGGGCAAAAATTACGCCAACTTCCGCCAGATGCCAACTGTGTCCGGTTACAAAATAAACAGATTCTTCTTTCAGTGAATAAATCCAGGAGGTCTGATCGGTAAGTCATTTAACAGCTCGTCTGAATCACTGAAATACGAATATATACATTGATGTACTATCTCCCTTTAGCCTGCTAGTGTGAATACAGCTGTAACTTTAGTTGTTAAACTCTCGTTAGCTGCTCCTTTACAGCAACACCATTCAAAGAGCTAACGTTAGCGTAGCAGCTAGCTCCCGCTACCGCGTTACGTTATCTGTGTCTGTAGACTGTAAACATTATATATCAGCTGTTAACCATGACCTTTGACTGTCGGCTTTATCGAACTGCTGTGGCAAAAAAAAGTGAACGCTAAAAATCACAACATAGTGTGTTTTCTGTTTGTTTGTTGTCACAGGAGGAAGAGTCACATGAGTCTCATTTAACACGACAGACTTCACAAACAACTAACAACATGACGGCTGCAGCCAGAGGTATGCTTTGTTCTCTCTATTTATCAATTGTTAACATTACCTGTTCAGCCTATTGAAACACATTGATTAGCAGTCGATATTAGTTTGCCTTTGTATGACATTTTTGAGGCCACTCTTATTCAAGAAGTGCTGTTAAACAACACCTTTTCGTGCCTGTGTATTTATCTAATTATGAATCCCCTTGTAAGAGTAACAATACAGGGAAATGTGTTGCTTTTGTTTTGTCAATGAATACTCAATCAAGACTGCGTTTCATTACACCTCCAAAGTCTTAACTGAGGTATGACTGAGTTTATTTGCTGCTTCAACCCCCTCAATTGAGTTTTTTTTTTTTGCAGATACCTCAGTTACAGTTTTTTCCAGCAACACTTTTTAAATATCAAAATACTGTATACAAAGAGGGATCACGGTGGCTGTATCCTGATACCTTAAAGTTATCAAATCAGTTGTATGGTTTACATTATAAAGCTGACTAGAAGCTCACACACCGTCATACATCAGGTTTTTAAAAACCTAATATTTGAATCTCATTTGATTCTCAGTTTGGTAAAAAAATAAATAAATGTAGAAGTGCATTTAGAGTTCTCTACTCATTAAGTGCTTACTCAGGATACATTTAAGTGTGACCTTGTTTATTTCTTTCAGTCTCGGCCAGAGTGCCCATTCGAGTGGCAGGCGATGGCATGGAAACTGAAAAACCGCCGGCTGTCTTGGAGGTTAAGACAGACACGCTGCCACCAGGTCCAGTCTCAGTTCCCCTGCTGAAGGTGGCAAGTCCAAAACACAGCCCCAAATCGAATCACCCCGCTCTTCCTGTTACGCCGCATCCACTCGGCGTACTCCACCTGGGCAAAGTGAGTCGGGAGGCCTGCATGGAGGTGGAGGCCGTCAGGATTGTTGTCCCTCGTGCGGCTATTAGCCGGAGCAGCCGCACAGGACCTGCTGAGGGGAAAGGGGAGGCAGGGCAACAGGCTGAGGAGCAGGGATCACCCCCGCTGCCTCTGGTGGAGGACTGGAGAGTACAGCTGGAGAAGCTGCAGAACTCTGAACGCAGGCTCCTGCAGGACAAGGAAGGCCTTACCAATCAGATTCGTGTGCAGACAGAGGTAAGAAGAAGAAGAAGATACATTTCAACAAAGAAACGATGTATGTTAGATCAGGTGTGTTGCTCTTAAACGTATGAAGTCATGAAGAATGTATTGGTATGGTAATAGCACAGAAATGTGTTACATTGTCAATTAGTTAAACATTTTTTACTCAGTCCCACTTGTCAATATGATTAAATCATGCTTCATATTGAATTATTTATTGAAGTTTGCAAAGACTGAACCATATTTTTGTTGATCTTTTTAATGATGAAGTGCTTTTAAGCGCATATAAAGGAAACAAAGTTTGGTGTTTATGCCCCCCTCTAAACCCCCCCCCCCTTGTGCCAGGTGAACCGTGAGCTAAAGAAACTGCTGGTGGCGTCAGTTGGGGATGACCTTCAGTACCACTTTGAGCGTCTCTCGCGGGAGAAGAACCAGCTGATTCTGGAGAACGAGGCTCTTGGCCGCAGTCTGTCACACACAGCAGAGCAGCTGGAGCGGATGAGTATCCAGTGTGATGTTTGGAGGAGCAAGTTCCTGGCCAGCAGGTATGACACACAGAAATAAAATAAATCTATGGGAGGTCTAATTCAGGGCTACGGGGGTTAATGCTCTTATCATTCTCAGTTTTAAAATGTGCTAGCAAACATCTGTTGTGAATCCACCTGTTGTGATCATATGACCGATGGCTTCATGACTGTGAATTCATCTTAATGCGTTTTGTCTCTTCAGAGTCATGGCTGAGGAGCTGACGAATGCCAGAGCAGCTCTGCAGAGACAGACCAGAGAGGCACAAGGAGCAATTCAGGACCTTCTTGTAGAGAGAGAAGAGTTCTCCAGAGACATGGTGATCACTCACAGGTAACATAACCACGGCACAATCTCTGATCCAATATAATAAACGTAGTCTTTTTTTTTTATGGTGACAGAGGCTGTGCACTTAACTTGCTTGTTTTCTCTGATCAGATCTCTGGAGCAGCTGCTGGTCTCTCTGCAGTGGGGCAGACAGCAGACCTACTACCCCAGTGCACAGCCCCTCAGCACAGGAGAGCTGGCAGCAGCTAATCACAAGCTAGCAGATGCCATCAACTCCCACCTGCTGGGCAACACCAGCAGCAGCACGAGCAGTGTGTTGAAGAGCAACAGTGCCGCAGCCGAGCAGTTCTGCAGCACACCTGCAGAGAAAATGGCTGAAAAGGTTTGAAGTTGTAATTATACAAACATGACAATTTTTCTTATATTTTTTCTAAAATCCACAGGTTTACAAATGTTTCTATTTTTTTTTTTTTTTTTTAAGGTGCTGAAGATTTTAGATCCAATTTCCTGTTCAGAAATCAAAGCAGATCTTCCACTCAGTGACTCCCCTACCTCAAACTTCCTCAGCAACAAGAAGAGCATCGGCAGATTTCATCCGTACACCCGCTATGAGAACATTACCTTTAACTGCTGCGAGCGCTGCTCTGGAGACATCCTGGTGCTGTAGAGGTCAAAGAACCTGACATCAAAACGGCATCAGAGCTTATTTCAAATGACTGGTTGCTGAAAAGGAGAGCAGTCTGGGGGGGATATTTCTGCTCAGTGTTAAGTGACCTCTTCAGTAAAAATCAAACGTTAGCTGTTCAATCAGATATTTTCTGTATCAGTTTGAACCTTTGCTACCAAATTGAGTGTGTTGAAGTGGTGATTATTTAATTTCCACTTTTCAGATAGCGGTTCACAAGTTCCATTGACCTGCTCTTTATTTTGCTCTCATGAATATGGAAACAAAGTTAACAAAAGAGTGGTTTGGTAAGAATCATGATGTCAGAGTGATGAAAGCAGAATGCATTTCAGAACCAGTGCAGTTTGGTTTAAACCATGAAAAGTGATTTGTATTGTTTTGATGGAAGGTCAAGGTGTGTTATTGTTACTGAACAGATACTGTGAGGGTGTCTGATTTTTCAAACTTGAATATTAGGCTAGTGTTTTCTAACTCCAACAATTGTGCAATAAGAATGTGCTAAGAACAGAACAAACACACTGTGACGTGAGAGTGTTAGCCCGAGGCTTGAGATGATGATCGCTTGTTTGCACTTGTGCACTGAAACAGTAAGTAAACTAATGATGTAAGTGAGGATGCCTCTTATACAGAATTGACTCCAGTTTCTTTGTACAATGGTGCTATGGTATTTTAAAAACACGGTGTTCATGTATTGACTATATGATGCAAAGACGTCATATACGTTCAGTATTTAGACTTTAAGTTACAATGTTATCAATTAAAAGCAGAGTTGTTCAAAGACCGCTCTCAAGCACATGTCCAATGATTTCGAGCATGTTCCAAAAGTATTTTAAGTTATGTGTAATACCTTTTTATTAAATGAGGTTATGTTCATCCAGGTGATGTTCTCATGTAACACTTTAAAAACATGAGGTTTTAGACATAATAGGAGAAATATTTTTGCTGCCACAACGATAAAAGAGATCTGAGGAGTTCTAAATGACACAGACCTGTTTGCAATTCTCTTAAAATACACTGTAAAATATTTTTGGTTTGTTTTACCTCTTTGATTTTGAAAATATAATTTGTAGTGAAAAACCATCAGAAAGTGGTTCATACTGCTTTTTTGTTTTTGTTTTTTACATTACAGAATATAATAAAGACCAAAGTAGTTTCTACGTTCGTTAAATGTCTTGTTTATTACCCTGAATCAGAACGCAGTACAAAAGGCACCAAAGTACACCAATAACAACCATTTTATTAACCGAATGTCCCAGGTGGTGACCCTAAACAGAAATATCCTTATTATCACTAGATCATTTTATTACTTCACTCTTTGTCCCACCACGTTTTGTTTTTGCCTGCACCTTTCCTTCCCTCGATGTTGCTCTTAAATGATGTCTGTACTTTTGTCCCAGCTGCTTTGCTTAACCCTGACTCCTTATGGGACCCGTGAAAACTCGGACCCTCACGTTTAAATGTCTCTTCTCTGGATCTTAATGTCCTGTCAACATTCAGCCTTGGTCCATGGTTTGTTGCACCAATGACTCTGTTATTGTTCATCACTCTCTCAGTCTTATGTTGGTGGAATCCATCGTGCTTCCTCTGAGGCACAAACTTCAGCGCCTCCTTCCATTTCCCAGTCTCCTTGATCGTGAGCATGATGCGGATCATCTGGTCCAGGGTCAGGTTTTTGGCCCCAATCTCCCAGTGGAGAAACTCATCCAGAGGTAACCGGGCTGTGGCCAGCTTCAGACGCTTGGCGTTGGCTAAAGACAACCCAGACTGGATTGAGCGGTCCACCAGAGCCCCAATGATGTAGACTTTGGAGTGGTCAAACTTGCGGAGAACGTTGGGCGAGTCTGCAGTGAGGTATACAAGCTGCTCACGGGGAAACATATCGACATGCTGGCGGTGGCTGCTGGTGATGAGCAGGCGGTCCCATGTCTCCGCTCCATATCGTTTGAGCAGCTCCTGCATGTACGCGCCGTCTTCCTGCAGGTTGCAGAAGTGAAGGTGGAAGGGCTCAACGGCACGCCGGTTCCACCCTTCCACCTCCATCAGCTGGGACACCGTGTTATCCAACTCTCTCCTGGACATTTTGGAGTCGTAGCTCATATCAATCACCAGTGGCTGGTCAAACAGCATAGCCTGGGCGCTCCTCCAGGCCAGGAGTTGGTCCAGGGAGCGGCTCCAGAACTTGCGCACAAATGTATTTTTCGGTTCCTCGGCTCCACCGTCCTGTCCGCCTTTCTGCTCCTTCATTGCTTCCTTCTCCGCCACCCTTTGCTGCTGCTTCTCTTTATGTGTCCTTCTGTGGCCCTCTTTGATAGCCAGAAACTTCAGGTACTTCTTCCTGGCGGACTTGGTGGTGAGCTCCGCCAGAATCCTAACCTGTTCATCCGTCAACTCCTCAGGTACAAACTTCCCAGCTTCGCGCCACATCGCCACCATTTCCCGAGTGGCCTCCAGTGGAGAGCTGCACTTTAGAGTGTCTTCAGGTTCAATGTTTTCATCGTCCTCATTCGCCTCCTCTCCTTCACTGACTTTCTCTACTGGTGCAACATTAGACCTCATGACAGATTTCCATTTATCCAGATATGTTGTGTCCAGTTCCCCTGGTTTATCTATCTGAGGCTGGGGAGCATCTTTCCACACTGGGCTCCCAGTGTTGAAGGTTCTGCCCAGTACGTGTGGTCGGTGAAGACGTGTGGCTTTCCTCTTCATCACACATGACGCCACAAGATGACTACACTTACAGAGGTCGTACAAACCCTGGGTTGCAAGAAGACGCAACATCGTACAAATATATATATATATATTTTTTTAAAACAGCAGCTTTCTGAAGAGTATTAAAAAAGCTCGTCACTGTAACTCATATTCCCACAAGTTGTGTTCCCATTCTCGCTGCGTCCATGCTCGTCAAGCACTGCCGGGGGAAGGTCACGTTGTAACACGGTGTCACACTATAACGTGTCGTGCTGAACTAATTTGCATGAGCCTGCGTTGAGCGGCTCTGTTTGTTTATATCGTCACGTAGACAACCCTTAAAAACGGGTTCAGTTGATAGAATAAGAATTAATTTATAATACATAAATAAAAAAAGTACGACTTTGTTGTGGGCGTGGAAAACATTCGTGTTGCTTTCACGTTGTTTCTAGACGGGTTGTTGTTCAGTCGTACAGGAGTAACGCCGTATTTCCTCCTGCTGCATACAAAACAAAGGGGGTGCCGACTTGTTTGCCTCCAAAAATGAGTTTGTTTTTGCCCAAATTGACTTGCAAAAAAGACATAGATGAAGTCATTAAAGGCGTCGCGGAGAAGGTGTTAGTCTTGAGATTCGGCAGAGACGAAGACTCGGTTTGTCTCCATCTGGATGAGATTGTAAGCAGGATAGTTAATACTAACATGTCTAAAGTGTTGTAAAGATGCTTGTGTCACTACTTGTTCACTCAGTGTTCATGTCTGTCCTTTTCAGCTGTCAAAAACAGCTCATGACCTGAGCAACATGGCCTCAATATACATTATTGATGTGGATAAAGCTCCAATCTACACCAGATACTTTGACATCAGCTACATCCCCTCCACTGTTTTCTTTTTCAATGGACAGCACATGAAAGTGGATTATGGGTAAGTGAATATGTTTACCCGGTGTGTATGTCTGATAGTTTTATTACAAGACTCTTCATGTCGTCATGCTCTAAAAGTAGACAGAAGCTCGCATTAAATGAATCTGCATATTATCCCCGACGTCTTTTAATCGTGAAAGAAAACGTCCCTTTGGATAAAAGTGAATTGTAGATTCAAACTTGTTTTTCTTAAAACAATGGAAGATCATGATGATATTCAATCAACATTAATAAATAAATTAAAAAAAAACAACAACAATTGATGGTGTCCTAAATTTAATCAAATAATAATGTTGGTCCAGTTGATAAAATGTTTGAACTAATTAAAAAAAAGATGTAAACACATTCTCTTCAGCCAATACTGACATCTTTGTGTCTCTCCCTTTTTATTTGACCAATAATCAACATACCTATAAGAACAGGGGTGGGCAACTGGCGGCCCCCATCAACCCTCAGCATGGCCCTCAATTAATTGGAAACATGAAGAAAAACATGACAAAATCTGCCATGAAATAGTGAAAACCAGAAATATCTCCATAATAATATTTGATCACTGGTATATGTTGCGATAAATTTGAGACATAATTGACTGTAATCGTTTTTGTACGCTACAATTTGGCCCCTCTGGCAGTGAGAATTAAATGAATGTGGCCCCTTGCTGTGACCAAAGTTGCCCATCCCTGCCTAAGAACTATGCAATCATGCCTCAACTATTTACATCTGAGAAGCTGATTTTGTATGATTTGGTTAAAATGTAATACAAAATGTAAGGTGATTATAAAAACAGTTTCTGAATTTTTTTCTGTGTCTTTCATTCATCAATCAACCGACCGCTTCTACTTTGAAGGAGTAAACTAACCAGCAGCAACACATACACACAAAGCTATAAGATAAACCCTGTGGCACACAGTGTAAACCAGATTTACTTTATTTGGCTGAAACGTGTTTACCTTTTTTTCTCTTACAGCTCTCCAGATCACACCAAATTTGTCGGCAGCTTCAAGACCAAGCAAGATTTCATGGATCTTATTGAAGTCATTTACAGAGGAGCCATGCGTGGGAAGATGATTGTTCAGAGTCCAATAGATCCTCAAAATATTCCAAAATATGATCTCCTCTACCATGGTATTTAGAGTTAGAGTTCCCACCTACACAGTGTGGCCTTATGTTTATAAGGACGTATTGCTGTTGGCATCAACCTCTTCCACCATCATTTAATAAAATGCTGGTTAACGACTCGACTAAAGATAGCTCTTTTTTGTTTTGACACACTCTAAAAAATTCTCAATATAAAATAATTGTTAGTTTTTTAGATTGCGAATAAAGAACTTGAAAGCCTTTATTTATTTACTTTTTACTGGGCCTTTATTTAGAGACTTTTTACTGGGCCTTTATTTAGAGACTTTTCCTTCGGTCAACACAAATATTTGAGGATAAGGTGACGGTAAACAAATAAATTGCTAACTTGTTAACATAGTTTGAAAGAATATTGGTTTAAGACTGGTTTTGCAAATGTTTACTGCTGAAGTAATTGTCGGTAATCCCTCAAGTATACACCCAATCTTTTCATCAGTAAAAGTAAACTCACATTTTGTTTACAAGTAAACTGCACAGGGAACAGGTAAAGAAAATGTCCACACAAGAACACTGTTTACCCAAACATCTGTGAAATGCATCAAATTCATATGTGATTGAGTTGCTCATTTCAGTGTTTGGTTCCCACAAATACAACACAAAACATGAAATATTTTCTCATGATAACAGGAAGAAGAAAACTTATTATACCTGCCCCTTTGATCATGTAAGAGTTTTAAATGTGGAACAGACTGACATTTAAATAAATAAAAGACCAAAATCAGTTTGATTTAACCCTAACCCATTATTTTTTCCCTTTTTTATTTTCTTACTGTTTTGAACTATACAATTTGATATGGAAGGTCTGATTATTGAAAAACATGTTTTATTTCGTTCTATTTGTTTCTTCTGAAAAGGCTGTGTCATTATGATGTTTCCCATGGAAAAGAGCTGCATGTCAGCAGAGAGATACACTTTATTTATCCAATGTCTGTGCTTTGTTTGTACAATAAACTTGATTATAAAACTATATGCTTATTTGTCCTCACACTGTATGTATATTGTTCTATTTGTATTATGTGTGTATCTGTATTATGTTTACAGATAAATCCTGTATTTAATGAGGAGCAGGCTGTGTCTGGATTATGTAAAGAAAAAGGATTAAAGCATAAAGCAGTGTATTACATAGTGTTTAACTGTAGCTGAATATTAGAAACATTACCTTACCTGCATAATTACAATAAACATAGAATGGGAAAATCTCTCCAAACTATTTTAACTGAAGCAAAACTTTACAGGTCTGTCTTACACACTAACAAAGCCATTGAAATTGGAAAAAAAGACTTTCTATAAATTCTAAATGCTGTTTTATTCCTGTCTTTCACATTAACATTTGCGCCCCTAACATCTACATATGATGTGAGGTTTTCAAAATGCTGACATGGTTTAGGGATGACCAGCTTTAATGGGACAAAGCTTTTAGGAAGCACGTGGGACATCTGCGGGCAAACCCTGCGTGTATGCTTTTATTTTGAAAAACACTTGTACCGGATGTGTTCCTTCTTCTTCTTACGGAAGTGAGGGTAGCGACGCAGCAATGGCAGCGACCTTGTACACAGCATGCCTTTCCTAAAACTGTAATTAGTTACCTGCTTAAAATGCACGTTTACAGAGCGCACGGAGGTAAAGTTTGGCATTTATAGTGTCAAGAGTAACACGAACATCATGCTCTCATTCATCAAGGCGGCCGTCGGAGGATTCACCGGCATCTGTAGAGCCCACGGTCACCAAGGTAACAAGTGAGATAATGATAACGTCACATTAAGATGAGCATTAATACCTTACAAGAGCTGATCATGTTGAGACTGTCTGGCTGTGTGACTTGTGCATATCTACATTTTAATACTTAAAAGCATAACGCCCTCAATGTCAGAGATTCGTGAATGTTTTTCTTCTTCTGACACTAAAGCAGGTGTCGGATAATTAAAAAAAATACACATCGATATAATACTTTTAATTATGCAGGTTCAAGATGTCAAGACATCATTAACATAACCTACTTCCAGGGCCACAAGAAAATAACAACAATTCCTCTCAAAAGTACAAACTTAAATTCCTGTGACATGTAAGGCAGAAGACAGAGACATACTTGTTGAAGGCTTTTAAAGAGAGACTGATGTTTGCAAGGAGCCAGCACCCTGAGATTAGTTTACCACGTTTCTTGATCTGAGAAGTTGAGCAGGATTTCAGACCTACAAGAAAGACACAACTTCATGCGACTGTATCCGCACATTATCAGTTTTTCTTTGCCACCATAAAAATCGATTTGAATTTTTCAGACTTCAAAATCTGAGCTAAATAAGACCTGAATTAAATCACTATGAGCTTTCTACTACTGCTGTTTGCTTTAAGATACTTTTTTTTTTTTTTTTTTAATCTGAAATGTACTTTACCAACAGTAACTCATGGAAGTTCGGCTTTTGGGACTTGATTTTGCCAACAAGGCCAAGAAATCTTACTTGTTGTTTGTTTAACAGGTTCTTTGAACAACCATTTGAAAGTCCTCACTGCTGGACTGAAGACGTATGACATACCTCCTGACTTCAGCGGTAAAATGTTCTTATCATTCTTAACAGTTTTTAAACATGCTCTAAAACCTTTCACCAGCTGTCCCTTTGATTCTTAGTTCAAGTTCAAATGTTTGCAAGATGCGTCATGTTTTTGGTGTTACTCACAATTTTTTATATATTTGTTTTAAACTCTTGCAGATGTGGTTTTGCCGGAGAAACCAAAACTGAAGTTTGTGAACAAAGTGCCAAACTTAAAAAAGGCAAAGAAAGAGATGAAGAAGCTACGTGATATCCAAGGGCCAGCTAGGGCAGCTAATACCTTCACGACAGGACAGTATGCTATTGTGGTGAGTTAGTTAATTTTCTGTACTGTATAGGACACCAACGGTTGAAGATTATATTACAAGATGTAAATGAATCATCTATTATATAATTACATATGTATTTACATGTTAAGCATTTTTGCACTACTTAACACTGCACAATTATCTTATTAAGCCTTGTATATGTTAGACTTTTTGCTCATATTTTGTTTATATTTAATGTTGTACTTTTTGTACACTGAGAACACAGAAGACAAATGACTTGTGTGTGTAAGCATACATGGCCAATAAAGCTGATTCTGAAAAAATACCTTTTCTTTGGCTATGTACTACCAAACTCATAATGCCAACGTTTATATTTAGTCCTTAATTGAAGCTAAAAGAAAATGCTTAGACATTATTTCCACAACAGAATCCCAAATAGTGACTCTCCTGTTTTCTTTATATCACTCTGTGCTGCGCAGGCCTTGGGAGGTGGTTACCTTCATTGGGGACACATTGAGATGATGCGTCTCACTGTCAACCGCAAGATGGATCCACGTACAACATTTGCCCGTTGGCGAATCAATGGCCCATATAAGCCGATCACACGTAAAGGTCTGGGTCAGCGCATGGGTGGGGGCAAAGGAGCCATTGACCATTATGTGACACCTGTCCGCTACGGCCGTCTGATCTTGGAGGTCGGAGGGAAGGTGGAGCTGGGGGAGGTTGAGCACATCTTGATTGAAATAGCAAAGAAGCTTCCTTTCCCTGCCAAGGTGAGAGCATTGATTCAGTACATGTTTTTAATTTATATTCTGAGAGGGTTTGTTACCAAAAGTCTTATTTCTGAAGTGATGACTATTGAATGGCCCTTTTTGGTAAATTTTTGTTCCCACTTTTGCATCTCTACAACACTTTAATCAAAAATGTTTAACCTTTGTGATGGCGCGATTGTTTAAATGGTTGTTTTATTAGCTGGGTCTTCCCCATAATCTAAAAGCTGATAATGTATACAAACTAAAGATAGTTGACCGGGGACAGAGCCATGTGGGACTTCATTTGAGTTTAATTTGATGACTTCTCATAGAAAGCTCTGATTGAGCCTCTGGGCAAAAAGTATGCAACTCATTAAATAGTTCACCTAAATGTATACACAAAAGCAGGTAACACAATTTAAATTACATGATAAATATAATAGAAATAAAAGTATCCTTTGCTAACAAACATATATCAATTCAAATAATCATATTTGATTTATTTCAGGTCATGAGCAGAGAGAGCCTAGAAGTGATGCACAAGAAGCAGGCTGATATGGAGCACAACAACCAGAACCCGTGGACCTTCAAGCAGATAGTGCAAGGCAACATGCTGGGTAGTAGAAAGGTGCTCAGCCCCTTTGACCTGCGCAATCATGGACGCTTCACAGGCAAATTTCACCTCCCGGGGAGGGTGTAACCATGCGGAACGGACTGAAACAATTTCCATGTCATACTGTGACACCATCCAGGCCACACTGTTAAATAAACCACCATAATCTGGTTCTAACTCTCAGTCATAATTGGAAATGTTTTCCATGTTTGTTTGTTTTGTTTTTTTTCACATAAAACATGAGTAAATTTGAAATATGTTAAAGGGAAGATTTTTCTCTTTCTGCTTAAAAAAAACTACTCAATATATATTGTGTTTTCATCGTTGATTTCATGGCATAAGAATTGTGACTTTACAAGTTCAACAGTTTTCATTTAGCTGAGAACAGGTTAAACACAAATATGCACCAAAAAAAAATAAAATAAAGTTTTACAATTGCACACCATGTATACTATAAAAGTTGGCTTTTGTGAAGTTAAGATTGTATTCTGTGTATAAATTGTGATTGAAAACCACAACGATATCATACTTTGGCAATTCCATTTTGTAATTTACATTTTTTATGTAAAAAGAAAATAATCTAATTTTTTTTTAGAGGTGAAGATTTTGCAAAATCCTTTTTATTGCAAGTTGTATAATAGGTTGAATGGAAATAACACTTTTTTGACTTAATTATAGTTTTAGAAAGAAATGCCATTTGGTAGTTCGTAATCTTACTAGTGCATGCATAAATAGAATTTATAGCAATTAAATGAATACAATATATGTGATGAAAACATCGGGGGAAATGTTTCTCTGGACAAAAAAAGGAACTTTTCTGAAGCGTAGGTGTTTTTTGTCCAGCAGGTTAATCTTAAATAAATGTTTTACTAACATAATATTTGCCTTAACCTAAAGATTAAACCTACATGAGACCATAACATGAGACATATCGGACTTGTGAGAGTTCCCGGCCTGTCCGGCGTGATGACGTTTAATGTCCCCGACAAACACTGTAGTCACATTTAGCCACTTGTTAGCAACCGCCGTTTTAGAGACGCGTAAAACTTCAAAATTCACAAGTAGGGGTATTATCTAATGTAGTTTATGTGGTCTAACAAAACGCCAACATCTCTTAAGCTTGTGTTAACCACAAACCCATTCAAAATCCCCATTGACTTTTACACGTTAGACCCCATGGCGCTCAAATGCTATTTACTTCCGGGTTTTAGGACTCATGACTCTGACTGCTGAGAGTCGTTCTTACCCTGGGTTTAATCTCTCAGGTAGGGTTCTCGTCGAAATTATGGGGTTTGTTTTTGCTTCTGTTTAAATCAGCGATGAATTCCAAAATGTAACTTACTCCATCCATTTGCTTTGTATACTTCCGTTGTCCCTGTATCGGGTGTTTGTTTTAACATTGTATTTTTTTTAGCCTGATAGAAATGCTGCCTGGAAAGCAAATCGCTGGGATAAATTTAACAATATCAGCGCATGCGTGTTGTACTCTGTGTTCGAAATCAGCCGCGCGAAAAGCTTCTCCACTCTGAAAAACAACCAAGAGAAGAAACATTTGACAAATCGTACCATGGTTTTAATCAGCAATTTCATGTTTAATATTACACGTGCTGGTTTATTTACGGTCGCCTAACCAAAACGTTATTACACCGCGTCTCATTCGCGATACATTTGAATATTACTGGATATTACTTTTTTTACAGACATGAAGCCCGTACGAGGCTCTACTCGAGCTGTATCAAAAACACGTAACATAAAAAACAAGACGAAACAAGCAACCGAGCGCCAGGTAAGAAGATACTTTCTAGCTAATGTTGACTCATAATGTCTTATTTAAAATAGCCTGAAATAGTCAGGTAAAGTCGTTACCTAGCTGACGTTTACGTGCTTGAGTTTTACTTGCAGGACCCAGAGCCCTTTGGAAAGAGGGTTAACCCAAAGCAGGCAAAGACGAGGAAAGGTTTGCACGCTCTCCTAAGTTGTGGATTATTAAATATTTGATCACGCAGGCATAATGATGCACTACATAACAAAGCTAACCAACTGCATTGTTGTCGTTTCGTGTTTTTATTTTTATTTCTACGTTAGTTGAACAGCCTCTAAACAGATACAAAGGTCAGGACAAGTGGAAGCTGATGACAGGGTCCTCCATCTCTACTCTGGAGAACATGTTGGATTTATCAATCCTGTAAGTTTGACCTGATTTACTGCTCAACACTTTCATTTCAACTCTTGATCTGCTCTTGTTGTTACTCTTTAATGCAACTTTGGTTGCTTTTTAAGTATTAAGTGTGTTTTTAGTGATGGTTCATAAAAAAGGTTTCAGAGCCAATTATATCTAGTAGGTTCTTGCAAAGAACAAATCATATACCACAAATTTAAGAGCATTGTAGAGCATTTCAATTTTCCTGTTCTAATGCATTTGGTCTTTGTGCTTGGTTTTGTTTTAGCAACTCAGGTTGTAATACTTTATGGCAGCTTTTGTCATCTTTTCTTCAAGTTTACAGTTTATTAATCTTTTTTAATTGACTCCTGAGCTGCATTGAGTTAGAAGAGGGGCCCCAAAAGGCTCGGGCCGCCAGTTGCTCACCTCTGCTTTAAAGCAATATTAAAGAGTCTTTCTAAAAAAAAAACTCTCTGGCTACTGTCCAGTACAATATCAATCAATCTGTATTTGTATAGCGCCAATTCATGACAAATGTTACCTGAAGACACTTAACAAAAGAGCATGTTAAAGACCTTACTCTTTGTTATATTTTAAGACCAAACAGTAATCCATCATCGGCACACAATGCAATCCCATTGTTACAATAGAGGCACTTGATATAATTTAAGAATGGTCAAAATCAACTATGTGAGGACACTCCTTTTCTTTTCTTTTTTACAGCGCAACGCTTGCCTTGAAGAGGACGGAAAAGACAGAGAGCCAGGAACATCTGAACACGATGAAAAGCAGGTGAGCAGTAACATATTAATGTGGACGTAAAGAAATGTCATGAACCTGCCTAGTAATTACTAGATATGGGCAGTGTATCATTTAACAAATAAGTGCAAGTTATGGATGTTGCACGGCAAAGCAGGTGTGTTTTTTTTGTGTCGAGTATTCTTGCATACTTCTACAAGAACAAGTTTTTAATGTAGTAATGGATGGATTGTGAGACTCTACCTTTCAAATATCAAACTAAGAAACTCTGATATTTGTCCATTATCCACCCTGTTGATATGAACACATTTTCCCCACTGCCCATAGTCACAACAAACAGAAATACCACAGTGCATGTTCAACAACATGGAAAAAAACCACAAATGAAATGAATGAGGATTAAAACTAAAATATACAACGATTTGAGATCAATATTGTAATGTTTAAGACTAAATCCTCTTCTTCGCTGCAAAATTGTTTTAGGTTCCTTGCACAGTGTGCACAGCTCAAAGTTCCAGTGAACAAACAAAAAGGTTTTGAGCGTCCATATCATCGACACCAGGAGGAGTCAAAGAAGTCTGTGGTTGGAAAGCAGACTCTAAGCAGCCTGGAGGTGTGAAACTTATTTTTCTTAGATGACTGCAAGTATGAAGCAATTACATTATGAACCAATGAATATGTTGATGACAAACTTGCAACCTCTCTTGACAACCCATTTATCATTCAAGTCTTATGTAAAACAAAAAAAGTAGGTTTTATTAAATTGGAGCATGCAGTGGGCATTTGTCATGATGTTGACAATAAAGGAGTAAAAGATTTATTAATTTCAGTAAAAATGATCTCTAGCTGCAGCCCTGTGTGTGTGTGTGTGTGTGTGTGTGTGTGTGTGTGTGTGTGTGTGTGTGTGTGTGTGTGTGTGTGTGTGTGTGTGTGTGTGTGTGTGTGTGTGTGTGTGTGTGTGTGTGTGTGTGTGTGTGTGTGTGTGTGTGTGTGTGTGTGTGTGTGTGTGTGTGTGTGTGTGTGTGTGTGTGTGTGTGTGTGTGTGTGTGTGTGTGTGTGTGTGTGTGTATATTCCTATTATGAAGAGCATGTTTCTATCATGTTTAATTTCAAAAAGTTTATATATATATATATATTGTTAAGTCCTGTTCGGCACATTTAGCCTTTATTCTTGCTGCATGCTGCAAAAGGCTGAGGTATTGGAATTGAACCCTCGGCCTCTGCGACGAGAACTACAGCTTCTGTATATGGGGTTGGCGCACTAGCCACTGAGCTAATCTGGCACTCCTCTATTGTTTGTATTTTATCGTTCACACTATGCTACATAACAGGTTGTGTTGACTCTTTCTTGTAGGAAGACTTGAAGGCTGTGGTCAGCGCTCTGGAGAGGAAAGAAGAGCAGACAGTCTCTTTAGAGCACACATGCAGCATGCTGAGAGACCAGGTGGAGGAGGAGGAGGAGAAAGCAAAAGAGGTGATAAACCACTGACACTATCACATGCTATTTAAGTCAAATATGAGGTGATGGATCGTCCGGCATCTAGTGCACTTCTCACTGAATGCTGGATAATCTCATGTATTTATGTAGTAAATGTCTATTGGTGTTGTTTATGTTTTGTATTTTTCTGGCAGCAAACTTATTTCCCTGTGGCGACATTAAAGATACTTTTGACCTTTTTTTTGCCACATGGTCAGTCTTAAACATTTAGATTTGGTTGACTAGTTTCTATATCCGTTTTCAGTCATCCTATGAAGGGCTATGTTCCAGTAAATATAAATACATACTATTTAGCGTACTAGATAAGGATTCAGTATGTCCCTATAGTAGTATAGTATGTCAGATTTACTGACTTAAGCCTGCTGGCTTGCAAACTGCTTCATAGTAACTGATGTAGAAGTACTTTCAGTTTTTTTTTTTCCTGGTATTCTGCATGTATCCATCACACAGCTACCACAAAACATGAACAGATAACTATGTAAGATATAAGATTTGCAAATGACATCCCTTTTAGACAACACTACATTTTTGTGCTGCAGAGAGTGACAGATGTTTGAGCAAGAGGATGATGATGATGTTGATGATGCAATGTGATGACAAAGTAGTCTGTCTTTCTCAATTGTCTGCATAATTAATGATAAAACAAAGTGCATAGGAGCAGTATGTTGTTCCCCTTTTGGTCTACAGTATCGAGCAGATCGTCTAGAAATCTCTCAATCATGTTTAACTTTGTATGGTTTTGAATTTGTTATCAAGTGAAATTGTCACCAAAAAAAACCCCATTATCTATCTGAAGCCGTTTTGCCATATACACTTCTGAAAATATCTAGATAATTTCAGGAGGACTGCTCAGGACATTCTCCTGACCTGGCTGTTCACATATGCACCTCACAGCGGGAGACTATCCCTGTCAGACGGGGGGGAAGCAACAGGGTCCTCTTTACGATACTATGATGACAATATTTGCCTTTATATCAATGTTACGTATCAGTGTTAGTTCAACGGAATGACAACATCAACAAAAGAGTGGAGAACAACATACTGTCAAACAGAAAACATAATGCAGCCCCTATGAGTAAATTATTTACATAGTGTAACAGTTGCCAAACAATCTGGTAGACATTTTAATTGTCATAAGGCTTAGAATGAAATTATATAATTTCATATAATTCTAAGTTCCAGAATTAACTTTGACAAAAAGTGTTTTTTAAACTATAACACAACAAAAAGGTTGTTTCATCAGAGTGGACACCAGAACCGAGGTAGACAGCAGTTCTTCACACATGTCTCAACCTGTTTGACATTAAATGAATTTGCACGCTTCTGGTTGATGAAGTTGGACAGCAAAAACGTTCTTTTCTTACATAGAGGATGTTGGTTTCTTCAAGAAACGGCTTATCAGTAGGTACAGGAAATGTCAGTCTTAACTCAGAATAATACACTTCATATTATCAATGCAGAGATTTGTAGATTAAGATTTTTTTCTTTATTACTGAACCGCAACTTAGTTGAAGGTATAAAGATACACTAACACTCTTATGTTCAAACCCTTCTTCATAGATTTTACAGATAACTGAACAAACAGTTCTCAACCTCCCCCGTCTTCCCATGCAGAAAGAGGAAAAAGCAGTCGAGGTAAGAATGAGGGTTGCACAAAGCACCTTCACAACATCTTGTCTGTGCTTGACTTCTTCCCTTTTGCACAATATGCCACCATTAAAGGTTCACTTTGTTACGTCACTTTTTTTCTTGTGAATAAGATGTGGGCGAAAAGCCTGAGTTGACATTTCCTGCACGATGAAACAGGAAAAGTAAAAACATGCAACTCTTTGAAAGATTGTGACAAAATCTGTCCTCTTACGAAAGGTTGTGTGGTGCTGTGCTGTAGAGCCGATCTTAACAGCTACAGGATTATCTTTGTTTAATGTTTTTCTCTCTCTCTCGCTGAACATTGTAAAAAAACAGTCACAACACCTCCCATTTATTGGAAGCCCATAAAAACACACAGCAGTTCTTAATATTTTTGTTTTTCCTCAGGCTTGGAGGAGAAAAATGATCCCAGAGGGCGAGCCTGAGACCACTGAACAGTAACTTTGAGAAAATCCTTCAGAAATCAACCGCCATCCAGGATGCCGAGGTTCTGCAGCTACAGACACACAAACAAGCTGATCAGTTGATCAGGCTGTTGAAATATTACTATACCTGGTTTGGACTGGAGCCTTGCCAAATCACTCCTCATATAGATTTAAAAAAATAAAATCTACATATGTAAGAGGTGTTTACACACAGTTTGGGGTTTTGGTATATGGGAATATATTTGTCAGTATACTTGAGTTCCACTTTCGTGTTTAATGCATAACCGCTAGTCTTCCTTTTTTCTGGTAAACACAAAAGAGAAGCCACTATTTATTGCATAAGAAAGAATATTTCGACAGACAGATCAAAACAAAACGAAAACAGGCAGAACTCTGAGCCGCAAATATTGCAAAAGCTTAAACCATGAAGTTTGTGTAACATTGGATTTGTACGTTCTTCCATTTTGTTGTCCTTTTTGAAAGATCATTTTTGGTATAGATGGAAACGGGGACTACAGGAATTGGGACAGGGGACTGGCATGGCATTAAGCAAGTCTGCATGCAGAATCTAACTACAGACATTGTGGTGATGTGCTATGCACATTCATAGTTTGACTCCCGAGTTGGAACCTATCGCAGTTTTCTGCAAGAAATATGATATAATAAGAACATGTGGCTGAAAGGAGGAAAAAAAAATGTTTCAGATTTCCAACTGGTCAGTCAGAGTGCACACCAGAAGAAGACCTGGAAACCTGCAAACAAAACACTAACTGCTGCTTCTTTCCAGGTGTATTGAGTTCAGTTTTAGACAACTGATAGCAGTTGATGTTTGGTCACATGCAGTTTACAGACCCCATTTACAGAATGGTTCTTATTATTTATTGTACTTTTTAATACAGAAAATAAGTTTTAATGTGCAACAATTGGTTACAGTTACATTCCTTAGGTCAACAATGACAGAATGGGGTTTGCTATTATGAACAACAAACAATATTAAAGCTAGCTTATCACACATCCAGTACTATATAATGATCTTGCAACATATTTCCTGTTCAGCATGTTGCTGCTTCAGTCCTCTGAGAGCCTCCAGGCACACTTACATTCAAAAGATTTATGAGCACATCTAGTACCAGATCTGTAAGTCAATACATGTTGAAGTGGGGACATCTCACGAGTTAAACAAAGGCATGCATTTGAGCCACTGTGGATATTGATAGTTTGATCTCATTAGCACATTGTACCTTACTGAGACGCACTTGCAGGTCAGGAAGTCGTGGTAATGAAATGATGCCGTGTTGTTGACTTTGGCTTGTTTTTTTATTTTTTTTAATCATAATGGTGTTTCCTCACGCCCTCTAATAAACAGACGAGATGATTCATGAATTTTTTTTTTTTTATGACCAGGCCTTTAACGTGCCGGAACAGTATCAGCATATTTGGAATCTACAGTCATCTACTTTCACTGATGACACTTGTGTCCACGTATCTTGTTCTTGGCTGACTGTAGAGAAACCACAGCTGCATCAATGTTTGATTAGTTTGTTTCTATTGTCACTGCTAGGCTGTTTTGGTTTGCCTGATTTATTCTGGGTATTCACTTGTCATTCCCTGATGCGCTCAAACAAATGTTTCTAGCTCCTTAAATTCTTCTCTTAAAAAAAAAACCTTTTAAGCCAACAAATATTTTTCTCCTGGCAAAATGTTTTTGTTTCAGGGGGGAAATTACAAAAGTTTTTCCTAAAATTAAACTGCTATGACTTTTAAGTTCAAATCAAACACAGATTGCATCACCACATATAGAAACTGCTGTATATGAAATTCACAGAGCAAGAAATTGCAAAAATGGAAACAAATGTTTGACACGTTTTAAAAACATAAAACAAATTTAACACAGTCCAATGGATATATTTGCAACAATTCAGTGCTGGACTATCATCAAAACCGACTCCTGAAGCTTCAGAATAGACTGTTGCCACTGAATATATTAGAGCAAGTAAGATAGTATGTGGGGGTTTTTCTTTCACCTTTTTATCTCCCAAGCAACTTTCTCATGAGATAAAGGTTGAAATATTCTCGGTCACATTTAAAAAGATCAAAAACATTTCAACATTGAAACCCTGCCAACCTCTTGCCTACATCTGTGAATTCTTAAGTGAGTTCTTCAAGGACTTTCGTCGTATGGACTCCATGGAGTCGTCGTTGAAAAGTCGTTCAATAGTGGAAATAAGCGAAGCTTTGATGGCACTGCCTAAGCCTCGGGCAGCGAACACATACAGCACGGGGTTAAGAGCACTCTTGAGGTACACCAGGTACAGAGATATGTATGTGCCAAAATTTGCTTTTTCGTACAGCACAAGTCGGTCAGAATGTCCCTTGGCCAAAGCCTTCAGGAACCGACAAACAAAATAGGGCACCCAGCAGGTGATGAAGAGGAGCATAGTGATGAACATAATATGGTACATCCTGGTCATCCTGCGGGCTGTTGAGGGGTGTGAAGAAGTGGGTGTTGATGGCATTGTCTGGCGAACTGTGACTAAAACCGCCAGGTTACTTCCCAAGAACACCAAAAAGGGCAAGATGAAACCGGCTACTGTTTCTACGACAAACAGCCCCATATCAAATTTTAAACTCTCCACGCATAGATATGTCCCGTTGATTTCCCGCAAGTTGGCACTGTAGAAGTAAGGGGCAGACAAGACTGTGGCTATCGCCCACAAGATGGCACATGCCAGAGGAACAGCCCAGTAAGGGCGACGCAGTCGAGCCCACACAGGCCTCAGCAGACACAGGCATCGTTCCATGGCCACAGCACAGAGGAGGAAAGCGGAGGCGTATAACCCCAGGCCTCGCAGGAATATGATCAGTTGGCAGAAACCACGATTGAAAGGCCAGCTGTTGTTGTTGGCCAAAAAGCCCACCATGAGCGGGGTACGCAGCAGTAGCACAAGGTCAGCAAGGGCCAGGTTAATCACGTAAAGTCGGAAACTGCTGGCAGCTCGAGTCTCCTCATTGCTGCCTCTGCGGAGCAGGTGGCGACGACTACGCAGTCCTAGGACCCAAACCACTAGCCCATTCAGAGGCACGCCCACCTGAAGGAACCAGGGGGACAAGTCAATTATGTGCAGTATGAAGAACTTTTAAAGATCCAGTCTGATATTTGGTGAAATGTGTTCCTTTGCTTTAATGCAGGAAGTTAAATGTGGAGACGGCTACCACTTATATGTCTACTGAAAACCTTCCAAGTTTTAGATAGCTGCTTATTAGCTTAGCTTAGCATAAAGGCAAGAGCATCTGCCCAAATGTAACCGGTAAAAGTGATTTATTAATAGCCTATGTTATCTTTTTTTTTAAATACTGAAGCCAAAGTATAACATTGAGATTACATTTTTTTTAAGGGGGACTATTTCCGATTTGAAGTTTTAATTGAGTATTTACAGAGATTCAAGTGGAAATGCAGAGAAAACAATCGGAAAAACATTATATTGATCGTGTCAGGACAGAGAGCCCTGAAAAACATGGATTTAAAATCTTAACAGCACTTTATGATAAAAAGAAAAGAGACCTTGTTGGTTAGTGATAGTGAAGAGAACATAGAGAAGAGGCTGTGTGTTAAGTCTTTATGCATAGTTAAGCTAATCATCTGCAGGCTCTACTTAAATATTTCCATACAGACAAGAGAGTGGTATTAATCTTCTCTTCTAACACTTACCTAAAAAATATGAATTCTATTTAAAATGTGTGAAAATCCCTTTTACAATTGTTAAGAACATACCTTTCTAAAACATTTCTAAATATAAAGTTACTTAAGTAGTGTGTCCTGTTTGTTGTCCCACAACCACATAATTAGCAGATGACCCCAACTCCTCAAGATGCAGCCTCTTGATAATTGTTTTGTACTCTTATTTGCAATGGTAGTGTATGATATCTTGAGGAATTCTCACCAGGAAGATGATCTTGATAATTGTTTTGTACTCTTATTTGCAATGGTAGTGTATGATATCTTGAGGAATTCTCACCAGGAAGATGATCAGAGTAGCTGTTATTTGTATCCCCCTCACTGCCTCATCTTGCCAAGAGCTGTTGGTGCCAGTCATCGGCCGGTTTCCTGAATGGACAGCCAGCTGTGTTCCATTGATTTCAGCCATTGAGAAGACATCCAACCAATTGTGACCTGTAACATGGGGATTACAACGGGTGTGTACATTTTGTGGATGATGTTGCTGGATTTATAGAAAAAGGCCACAAAAGAGGAATTAGTTTTGCAATGGACAAAGTTGAAATATGTGCAATATGCATGCATGGTTGCATATGAATATGGATTTTACATCAGTTTCTTAAAACTCAGAAAAACAGATGTCCACATCATACCCCAACTTGACAACACATAGGCTACTTCCTTTTTTTTTTTTACATTTGTTAGGTTTTGAAAAGGGAAATATTTATTATTTTCTACATCTAAGTCAAGTTTAGCACTGCAGTGTCATCTCACCTCAACTCCTCACCAAAAAGGAAGACAATGAATTGACTAACAGTTACTTCCTTGATACTCCCCCCCCAACAAAAGAAACAAAAAACAAAAATATGCTTCTTGACCTAAAATGTCAGTTAAGTCCCCACAATGTTACAATTGTTTTTGTCTTATCTCAACTAAATGATACACACACACACACACACACACATAATTATTGTGTTATTAGCAGTGATGATTACATAGAAAGGAATCTGATCTATTTTCCTACATCCACTGCTGCCTAAGGGCCTGAAAGAACTTGCAGACCGGGCCTGTTAGTGTGCAGCTGGAATGAGAACAGCATGCATGCAAGGACATCTGTGTTAATGAACACACCTCATTTGGTCTCCACACAGTAGCAGCGCTAACCTCTGGCAAAGTTACTGATAGCATGTGTAGTTTAATGATAAAAAAGCACATTTAGTACAGACCTCTAATCTCAATATAGTTACTTAGAAGTAACAGGTTCTGAATCTGTTTCTAAAAAGCTAGTTTAAAAAATACTTAATGCTGATTTAGATGCTAATTTAGAAGAGTTTCTCACCTTGATATGCCTTGTGTGTGGGAGAAATTGGGAGCAGGAGATGAAGCTTAAAGGAGTGCCTACTGGCTGTTATAAGACTCTCTCTCTCTCTCTCGCTCTCTTTCCTGTGTTAGATTTCGACACTCCTTTTTATAAGCCTATCTATGAACCACAGAGACAAAGTTTGAAGTTCAATCATATTTCAACCAATGAGATGCCATTTCCTCTGATATCAAATAGCTTTTATTGATTTCACTGTATGAGTTAATATAGTGAGATCAAAGTGATAAAGATGTTCCCTTATCTGACACATACATACATACATACATACATATATACAGTACATACATACATACATACATATATACAGTACATACATACATATATACAGTACATACATACATATATACATACATACATATATACAGTACATGCATACATATATATATACATGCATACATATATACATACATACTTGCATACATATATACAGTACATGCATACATATATACATACATATATACAGTACATGCATACATATATACATGCATACATACATACATATATACAGTACATGCATACATATATACATACATATATACAGTACATGCATACATACATACATACATATATACAGTACATGCATACATACATATATACATGCATACATACATACATACATACATATATACAGTACATGCATACATATATACATACATACTTACATACATGCATACATACTTACATACATACATACAGTACATACATTAAACCCTCAAAATACATTAAATTATGACCACAAGTGTCCATCTCTCAGTGGCCCCTTCATCTCAACTGCTCCTATGAGAAACTTTCAGTTTGCTTTGAAATTTGCAAGCCCTGTGGACTCTGGGTCCTCTCTCTCTTTCCTGATCCTGTCCTCTATATGTGATACAAAAAATGTCCTCCAACTTCCTTTAACTATTAAACTCTTCACTTACTGTAACTCAGGAAACAGGCATCTCCGGTCCGCAGGATCTTTGTCTTTTGTCCTGGTGGCAGCATGAACTCCTCACAGTACTTTTAAGAGATGAATAGTATATGTGTACTTATATAGCACTTTTCTTGTCTTCTAACCATTCAAAGCTCTGTAACACCACATGTCACATTCATCCTTTCACACAAATATTCATACACTTATGGCAGAGGATGCCATGCAAAGTGCCTCTGTACAAACATTGACACTGATGGCTATGCCTTCAGGAGCTTGGAGTTCAGTTTCTTGCCCAAGGACACTTTGATCAAACTGCCAACCTTTGAACCTATGATTGACAGACAACCCGCTGTTCCACAGTTGCCCAAATATATACTGGTCACAATGAATATTTTCATTGCTCTTAAGTTTTCAACAGCTGAGACACAAAACAGAGAAAATATTTCATTGGCTGAAAGAAGAAAAATTACAAGCTATTAAGTTTTTAAGATTTAGTTTGTTGATTTGGTACTGACTTTAAATAAACTACAGTGTCCATGTTTTTTTGAATGAAGGAACGTGTCACCCAGTGTAACAATGAGCCTTAATGATGCATTATTGGTGTTTGATAACAAGGGCAAGCTGTGTATACAGAGGAATAAACATATGTGGCCTCAACAATGAGCAGATGATCACATTTCTGTGGTATTAGAAATGACTTGAAAGCATCAGATTCATTCTGCAACATTGAAACAATTAATAAAACGTAAACTTAAGTTGCAGAGTTTGCTTTTATGACAGCTGACTCTTGTGTAATGATTTAGAGCCTCTCCATTCATAGGCTTTTTAATAATGACGACCTGATGATGTAATATCTAATCACCACCAGTAGAGTGCAGTGCTGCTCATTTGGTGAGAAGGATGAAATCTAATTTGTTATTTATTTACTTAATGTGATTTCAAACATGAGCAGCTTTGAAGGATTTATTGCTTAAGTGAACTCAGGGGATTCCATTTTTACAAATAAATAAAAACTTGATATAAATACAAATGGGATCATTATCACGATATATATCAATCTCAATCTTGTATAGCAGCAATTCACATGTTATCTCGAGACAGTTTACAAAAAGCAGGTAAAAGACCTTACTCTTTGTTTACAAAAGAGCAGCAAAAAATATAGGACTACTTCACCACAATTTCTTTATTAATATTAATATTCTTTAAATAATCTTATGTTAAAACAAAATAAAATAAAATTCTTAACATTTTAATGTCGATTGTCACTTCAAATGAACTTTTATTTGTCTAATAATCATTCTACATCAGTTGAATGGATGAAGAGCACCCTGTCAATGTAACGAATTAAAACTGGGCTTTTAGAAATAAAAAAGCAAAACTTAAAAGCTCTTGGACAGTAAAATAAACTGCCAAAAATCTATTTTGATGAACCACATGATTATTATGAGTCAACAAAGAGTCAAACTTAGTGCCATGATAATTTAAAGACTTACATTATTTATCTACTTTTTTAACCTATTCATATTTTGATTGACCTATCAATCATTTGTCCTTAATATTGAGGGTATTTAAAATGTTATTATTGTTTGTAGAGCTTTGTGAATTCTTTCTGGAGACAGATCTTCTCAGATTGAGGTGTTTGGGAGAGTTTTGTGTGATTTCAAACCTACATTCAACAAAGACAAAATTAAAATAGAAACAAAGACTCCTTTTGAGTTTCCTTTTGAGAGACAGTGGGGGAAATTGAGTTCATATAAATCTAACGTCAATAACATGACTTTTTATGGATGGACTAGAAAAGCTTTATTGAGAGGCGTGCATCTATTCAAAGTAGTTTTTGGAATTGAATCATAACCAGTGTTGGTCTTTCCACCTCTGATGCTCACCCACACTTCCTTTTAAAGCTGCTAATTTTAGATGCAGAGGTTTTGATCGGGGAAATCAACCTCTCATATGTCAAAGCGCTGGAATGAACCACAACTTTTTGGCTTTTTTTGCCCTTTTGTGAACTCCTTTTTAGATCTACTTACAGATTATATAATACTTATTTTTGATCAAACAACACTTGCCTATGTAAAGAAATAACCATAAGCAGTAATGGTAATGAATTGGTGATGGCATGCAAATAATCTATATGTCTTATAAAGAGTTAAAATACTATGTGTTCCACACTGTGAGAACTCAGAGACCTCAGGGTGACAGGTTGGTGGAAATGTCTTCAGATGATATCAGCTGTTTATCTGTCGGGCCTCTCATGCATACCCCACATATGACAGGAAGTGTGACAGCAGGTTGCCCACATGGAAACATTGTAACAGATCTCTGTGCAGTGCAAACAGACAGACAGAAAAAGAAAGTATGTTTGTTTTCTCTTTTGCAGGACAAATACAACTCATAGGATCATTTTGTTCTCATGAACAAACTTTCAGACTGGCTGGCATTTCTGGTTTTCTCCCTGGCAGTCGGTCATAAAAGAAATGAAAGTAGTGATGTTATGAGCGGAGGTGATAATGGTAAAGCTCTTCTCAACCAATTCTTTATATTTCATCTCTCCAGTTGAAAAAGATAATGATTTGGTTTCCTCTTAACACTGAAATATGAGGTCAGTTTCTTTCTGGGGTTACAGCCACACACTTTCCCTCTCATTAGACACAAATATTTTCACATGATGTTAAGTTTTTCTTTTTCTGTTGTAAAATGAGAAAGGGAAACTTTTGAGAGCAGCTTACTCAATGAGTAATCTGCGACAGGCAGTAAGACAGACAGACTGAAGGGAGGTTTGTCTTTCAGCTGGCATGTCACACATTGTGGATTTCCAGTTCATGAGAGCAGGGGGGGGGGGGGGGGGGGGGAGGTCCCTGCTGCGTCTCTGCTTCTTCCCCCGCCTCCTCATGTACTTTCAACCTTTTCCCTTTAACTACAGACTTGTTTCAATGAGTTTCTTCTTGAACACATTTACAAGAATGCAATGTACTTAGCACCGGTACACTGAATGTGTATTAGAAAAGGGTTTGGCAGAGCCAGCGTGCTTTGACAGTGCCATCCTCAGTGACGGAGTAAAGAGTCAAGGGGGAGGAGGGAGGGGGTATTGGGAAAGGCAATGAGAATGAATGGGGAGGCACCTTGTCTTCTCAGAAACAAATGACTATGACTTAGCTATCGCCTCACCACAAGTACACATCGCGTGCAGCAACATTCTAGGCCAGTCTAACGGGGATAGATTTCTGGATCTCAGTCATTTAGGGGAAAGGGGTCTGTTGTAAAATCCCCACAGGTGACACTCCCTTAACTGTCAAACAGAAATCCATTCATTTCATAACCCTGCACAGTCATACTGCTCAGTGGTTTCACAGGTGGCTTGATGTAAAAAAAAAAGAGTAAAGTTATCAAAAGGAAAATTAAAAAGTATATACTTTCAACAACAAGGTGACTTCATTTTAATTATCAGAGATATACAGTAAACTCCAATAAAATGTATGTCAAAGGTCTCAACACTTTGTGGTAAAAGCCTGATCCAAAGACAAATTGTATCTGCTCCAAAAACAAAAAAAACTGATTATGGTTGACATCTTTTTCTGTCATAGATTTTCGGTAAATTTGGTATGCACACATGTGCTTTGTCCACAATGATGAATCCCAACTTTAGGAATGTTCTGAAAATGTACACTTGGGGTTCATCATTGTGGGTCGAGTCAAAATGTCTTTTTCCAAGATCACAGGCAATTTACCTTATCAGGCTGTAATGTAATGATGATGTAATCAGTGCACAAAGGAATACCATCCAACATGTCTTATAAGTCTTATATATACTGTATAAAACAAAGATGATGCTTTCTCTTGTTGGAGTTTAATTAAAACAACTATGTCCCCATCTATTCGTAGTTCAATTTTGTGATCAGTGCTTATGTTAGCATGCTAAGAGCAAAATTAAAACAGAGAAAATGACAAGCCTTCCCCCTGTTAAACATCAGCATATGTGCACACTGCTGTTAGCAATTAGCTCAAACAGCTGTGAGTTTTAAGTTTAGCCTCAAAGAGCTGCAAACATGATTTTGACTTTTATGAAACACCACCAAATTCACACTAGATGCAGTAGAAGTGAATGGGTAACGTATTCTCAAGCCAGATAGTATGTGGGCTGAACTTTAACATTTTGGGATCATCTGCTGATGGATACCATTTTCCCACAATGTATAAATGAAACAGAGGGGCTGATAAAAGCTAAAATAGATGGTTGTTAGTGGCGATAGTTCATAAAAGATCTTTTAAAAAGGAGATAAATATTGAACTTTGGGAATGTCAATCATATTTGTGAAGATTATCATACAGATATACTCAAAAGCTGCTGTATGGGGGCTCCAGTGAACGGAGGCATGGGTCCTCCAAGCGGGCGGCCCAGGTTTGAATCCGACCTGTCATTCCCCACGCTCTCTCTCCTGGTTTCTGATTTTATCAACTGCCCTGTCTCTAATAAAAAGCCTTAAAAAGTTTCTGCATGACAGTTGTCATGTTATTTCCTATAGATCATTTTTGATTTAATACTTAAACAATGCATTGTGATGATAAGTATGTATATGATGTATAGGAGTAGGAAGGTGGCCTTATATGGACTGAGGACACTGCTTCAATCTTGTAAAGGTAAAGTGAGGAAAGTGTGTTGAGGTCACCTTTTCATTATTCATAAAATAAAAGGAAAGCTGTGAAAGACGTCATACCAAGCCATCAAAAGGTATCAAATTTAGAGTTATCATAAAAATTCCCCTTATTCACTAAGTACAATGGCTGTGGCTAATATCCATTTTTGTCTTTTGTGATCTTCTGCTTTAATAAATCCCTCTGAATATCACATTAAAAGTCCTTTAATATGTGTTTGAAGAGGAGAGGGCTCTGATCTTGCACCTGCTGCTCAGAGACAGACCTATATTTAATCTATTTTCCTGTGAAATCTCTGACACATTCTTTTGACATATTTTAACATATCGCCAAATTCAAATTCATGGTCTCCAAGTGCCCTCGTCCTCATATCAACCATCACAGTTTGACACAACTGGCAAAAACATTTTTTTTTTAAATTCCAGATATGAATATGATCTCTTCTGTAGGCTGCATTTACATACCAGATAAAAAGGCATCTTACTGCAAATTTGTTGCAATGATTTTCTTTTTCTATTTAATAGTCATTCTGTTAGGAAGGGGATTTCACATGACTCATGCAAGGGTATAAAAGACATGTTAACCCGTAGCTTATTTTACTGTTCAATGTGGAGTGAGTGTGAAACGCATGCAGAGGTTCGAGGAGAAGACAGACGGGAGAGAGCGAAAGAGAGACCAGTTACTTAAAGAGGAAGTGTTGCTGCTCTTCAAAAAAGCCAGGTCAGTAACTACCTAACTACCACCAAAACAAACACACACTTACTTCCTGGCAACATTTCAGATTAGTTTAGCGTCTTGAGTAGACTTGTGGCAGCACCTGTTACATCCTGTTTCTGGGTAGAGGTAATAGACACAGAGCTTTACTGTCAAACTCCAGCTGGACTTTTTCAGTCAGTTAAACACCTGAGCTCATCCTGAAGACGCTTTAGAGGACCTCAAACATGCCTCTAGCCCACAGAAATGTATTTGAGGTTTCTAACGAATAGCTATGTGAAGCATCAGGTTTCATTACAGGGGATAGTGTGAAAGCATAAGAGCTACACTTATTGTCAAATATAAACATGAGTTTAAGTGTGTGTAGAGCATTATTCTTTCTGAATAAGGCAATTGTGTTACCTAGATAAGATTTTACATAGTTATGGCATTCATAAATACAGCCTAATCATGGCAGATTTGCTTTTTTTTTTTTTTTGCAAACTGACAAACTTTAGGAATTAATGAGTTAAATTTTCTTGTCATAAATTCTCAGAAATCTTTGCTGTCAAATATTTTCATCTAGGTCACCACAGAGTTACAACAAGTTTCATTTCTCTGCTTTTGAAGTGATTGCTTGTAAATAGAAACACTACTATTCAAATGTATGCTTGATCTCTGTCGACCTCTGCAGGTTGCCTTCAGAGTCTGAACAGCAGAAGTAAGGTGAGCATGTGGCGGATGAGCCTTTCTGTCCAGCCCCATGATGAGGTTAATGCTAATCGTGATAGGGGTTGTCAAATATAAGACGCCTAACATGTTAGCATTAGTTTCACTTTGGGGAATCTCACAAAAATGATCTGAACAAGGCCACGAGGGATTCGTCCAACACTGAAGTCCTCATGCACCGGCAGGAATACGAGGCATAATCAGACGCAAAGGTAAAAATGGACTAACACCGTGTCACTGCTGTGAGACATCATCCTGCTGCATACCATTTCTACTTCTTAGTATTTGTTTCATTCTTTTTTGGGAGAACATGTGTTTAAGTTTGAACCTTTGACAACCCATGTTAAAGACAACATGATTTATAATGTGACCCACATATAATTAAATCAGTTTGTCTATTAGACCTCTTCTTTAATGATCTAGACGTTCAGCAGAGCTCTGCTGAACATCACCCAGTATGAACAAACAGCTATCTGACTTTGAAAATTAATTATATGTATCACATATTCAAAGGATCACTCTGGTTATAAAATAAAAAAGTAGGCCTAATGCATTTTGTTGAGATCATGTTTGCAGATTATCCATAAAGGGAGAGAGAATTTCAGTTGCCGTTGGTGATTTTTGAACATTTTAGAAACACTGAAAAATTGAGTGCAGAAAATTTCTCACACTTCATAGGATGAATAATCCATTGACAATCACATGGAAATACATTCATTGTCACACAGATAATTCAGCATTCATCTTGAAGAACGTCTTAATACAAATCTGAACTGTGATCACTTTGTGATCAATGTTGCATAATGTAATGTTTCTTTAATGTGTTGAATTATTTCAGTATATTGTCAGTTGTTGTGCTTTGTTATAATTTAGTGACTAAATATGTGAATAAGCATTCTTGTTAAGTTCAGCATTTTAATCTTGTGTATTTGTATATGTTAATTCACAGGCTCTGTTCAAATCAATTAAATAAATTAATTAATGAAAAACTAAAGTGGAGAACTCCCCTGGTTTGTTTATATTGAACATGTATTGCATTTTGATTTAGAAAGGATTTTTATTAGAACAAGTCATAATATTATAATTATTTTTGTGACGTTGCAGCAGAGACAGACACAGATGGCCAGAAGGAAACAAACTTATAGAAAACAACAAAATCTGAATCCCAGTATTGAAAAATCTTCCGGCCAGTTCACCATCAGACAAACCAGGAATTTTATTATTATACCAAGAACATGCAGAGATGTGTTCATGGTTAAAGCCACTTAGTTTTATATTATGTATATCATTATCTGTACTCATGTGTCACTGTGTTTGGTTACGTGGTCATAAAGAACATTTCAGTCAAAAGCATGATTCATATTATTCCACTGAAACATGAATTTGAGTTTAAAATGTCCTCTGGCAGCTGACAAGAAAATCAATTATAAAAATCAGATTATTGGATATATGAAGTTTTCTCCAGCAAAAAACAAAAGTCAGACTTCTATAATGTGGGCTTGATTTTCTCTACATAGCTCTTTTTGGCTCTCTCTCTCTCTCTCTCTCTTTCTCTCTCTCTTTTTTTTCTCTCTCTCTCTCTTTTTTTCTCTCTCTCCCTCTCTCTCCCTCCTCTCTCTCCCCTCTCTCTCTCTCTCTCTCCTCTCTCGCTCTCTCTCCCTCTCTCCTCTCTCTCTCTCTCTCTCTCCCCTCTCTCTCTCTCTCTCTCTCTCTCTCTCTCCCTCTCTCCCTCCCTCTCTCTCTCTCCTCTCTCTCTCTCTCTCTCTGTGAAGTTGATGTCTCCAAACTTGAGGTTTTAATGATTAATAAATTATGAAAATATGTTTCCCACACTTTGAACACAAACAGCCCAGACATCTCTGCTGTCACTTTGTGCTGCTTTAGTCTTGTGACAGAAGCCCCTGTGTAATCTTTTAAACCACTTTGTCATTAGTTCAGATTCCCTGAAAATGAGCCGATTACAGTCTAGGCTCCTTAAATGCAGAATATACAGGAGTTTAAAGAAAATCCACCCATTTGTCCAGTGCTGGTTTCCAATGCTGATTGATGTCAACATTTAAAACCAAACAGCTAACACATCCATATCATAAAGGCCTAGTCAAAGATTTCTCAACACATCAATGTTTAGTAGAGCGGGATATTTTTAACATAACTGTAAAGCCCCTGTTTACTGTGCAGAGCAAGTTTATTTAAAGGGATCACTGACATTCAGCTTTCACCCATGTCTTTAAAGGTGAAATCTATGCCCCCTTCCCTAAAAAAACAAAAGACGTTGTTTCCTCTTTTCTAGATCCTTGCCTGTGTTGTACTTCCTCTCTGATGTGCGTCCCTTTGGATGAAAGAATCTGCTAAGTGAACATTTATAAGCTGTTAGGCAAATTAAATCCTTTCTCTTTAAATCCCAATCATTGATGTGACTTTCCCTACAAACTTTCCCTAATCATGAGGAGGAACTCCCCATCATTTTAGAAAGACACTTTATGATGATATGGTGACTAACAGCTCATTGATGTTGATTTAGTACATTTGTGTGCATTTGGGTGAATTGAGTTGAGTTTTCCCCTTTTCTAATAGCTGTGTTTTAAAGTGTTGTGGGGCGGGGGAGCAACCTCTACCATTTCCAGCACTGGTCTTGATTTCGATCTCAGTATCTCAATGGGAAGACATTTTCATGAGGGAGGGATACAAATGTGCCAACCAGCCCCTCTCTCCCCTCTACGCATGAGCCTGTGTATGGGCGGACCGGCCAGTCAGCTGATCACTCAAATACCCCACACAGTCTCTGTCCTCAATACACGTATTTCGTCACACGAATGATTTTCTAGCCAATTACTCACAATGTGGAGAATTTCACTGAACAACTGCAGGGGGGAGACTCGTAACTTGTTGGGATTTCACTCAGGAGGGATGCGTCCTGTGCGCGCACCTGGCGCCGCTGGAGACATGCAGGGCCGACACGTTTCTGCCTCTTTTCACTCTGGTTTATGATACCGAGCCGCCGCCGAAACCTGACATTTATTCCTGTGATGGGGAGAATCACATGGAGCTGCGGTGCCGTGATCCTCCTGGCCATCATTAGCTCATGTCGTGCCATCACTCTGGAGTCCATCCACTGGAGCAGCTCCAACACAAAGTGAGTGCATGGACCACTTTTCACTCTGCTGCTATGTCCTTTTACTCATTAGCTGAGTTAAATTGAGAATATTTAAGAAAGAGAATGGCACCACAAGTTACATAGCTCATAGCTGCTAGAACAACTATTTAACAAATCGACAGTAATTATTGATTCATAGTTTTAAAGTCGTTTGGTGAACATAATGCCCCCTGGTTCCAGCTTGTACAGGAGGTTTGTGTCATTATATAGCCTACTAAATACAAACAACAAATAATGAATTCATTATTGGTAAATCTGCTTACTCTTTTCTTATCAATCTGTTATTTTGTCACAAATTACATGTGAACATTAAATGTTCAAAATGGAAAAAAGACAAAAAGAAGCAGAAAAAAACTCGAGAATATTGAATGAAATGGATTGGAATTTGTCTTTCTTTTTAATTATTAGAGAAGTCTTAATTGATGCAGATTATTTTCTGACAGAAAAAAAAATCAATGAATCTAATGTTTCAGCTTCAATATTGAATATCTTCAGGTTTTGACCCGCTCCTTTAACAAAACTGTTCATTTTGATGTGAATGGCCTTTTTCACAGTTTGTCTGGTTTCTGTGTGGTCTGTCTTTAAACTACATACCGATTTGTTTTTGTGTTTCTTTCTTTGCTTTGTTTTTTTTTGTATAGCTCATAGACCTTACTGAGGACAAAAAAAAATCCTGTTGGCTAAACAGCATATTTATTCATTAGTTTGCAAATTCCCTTCCGAGTGAACCTAAATAATTGTATTACTATTTATTATATTTCATGCCTCTATCTCTCAGGTTTAGTCCAGGTAAGGGTCTCGTCCTGTATCCTCAGATTGGGGACAAGATGGACATTGTGTGTCCCCGAGCTGCTGCCTCCCCAGGGGTGAAGGAGGAGGTCTATCGGGTGTACCTGGTCTCCCGCAGTCAGATGGAGAGCTGCACCATCCACAAGACCGACACACCTCTGCTGAACTGTGACAAACCCAACCAGGATGTAAAGTTCACCTTCAAGTTCCAGGAGTTCAGCCCTAACCTGTGGGGTCTGGAGTTCCTCAAGGGGAGGGACTATTACATCACCTGTGAGTCACTGTGTATAACCTCCTAGAAATGAAACCTATGTGTCCATAAGTGCTGTATGATGTTCAACACAAATCAGTAAAAAAAAAAAAAAAAAGCCAGAGGAAGGAGCTGAAGGTTCCTACAGGTGGAGCATCGTTTGAATCAATTCTGTTCCCTTTTCCTCCTCTGAGGACTTCAGCGTCCTCGCCTCCCTCTCAATTTGTCAGTTTGCGTGAGAATCACAAAAATGTGGCCTCGTTATCGGGCCGCTGTCGGTTGAACCGGCATCTTAGTGGCAAGTGATGCATGAGATGGAGAGCAAGTCTGACCATGTAGCCTCATCCACCTCGCCGCGCTCTGACAGCACACTTCTCTCTGGCAGGCCACTGTGATTCCAAGGGCTTACATGCCCCAAATCACACAAGGCTTTTACAGCATCAGGCAGATTTGAAAGGAGCTTTCATGGCAACGTGGCTTGTGGCCTGTGAGATGTTGTTATCTGACCTAAATGCTGCTAACAAGTCTGTGTGTGTGTATGTGGTGGTGGTAATGGTAGTGATGTGTGTGTGCGTGTGTGTGTGTGTGTGTGTGTGTGTGTGTGTGTGTGTGTGTGTGTGTGTGTCGGCACAGGGTTGAACCATAGTTCCTCCTCAGTGTGTGTGTTTGTGTAGATATATGGGTGTGTTTAAGTAATTGCTGTGATAGTTAAATATATAAACTTGTTTTAAAAATTTCCTCACTACTTATTTTGCCGCCAAAGCTGGAATGATGACTCTATAAATACTTTAGGTTGTTTTTCATACAGATTTTTAAAACATCTATCTGGTTTAAGCTTCTTAATTATGAAGATTTGCAGTATTTATGTGACAGAAATCAAATATCTCTGGATTTTTGTCTGAGATAAAACAAGCAACACAGAGATCACAATATGTGTTCTTGTAGCCCAGGGGCTTTTTCCCCCTCACTGATTTACAACATCTTATTTAGTGCAAGAACCTGAAAGCGACCTTATTGGTTTTTTTGATGATCGTAAGTGTTTGCTTATCCACATACTCTATGAAACATTACATTTTGTCTTGTTTATTACTGTATTTTCTTGCCTTTGTGATGCAATATTCAGCAACCATTTAAACAGCCTGCAAAGAACTCATAATGGAAAGATGCATCGCTCGACCACCCTGTATTATAATGAATATAAAAGAAATACATAAACCTTAAAAAAAAAAAAAAAAGGTCAACTGTCATGTTGCTCTTCTCTCTCTCTCTCTGTGTGTGTGTCAGCCACCTCTTCAGGCTCCCTGCAAGGTCTGGACAACACTAACGGAGGGGTGTGTAAAACCAAATCCATGAAGCTGGTGCTGAGAGTTGGCCAAAGTGAGTATACGATCTGCTATGGTATTTTTATTCAGATTTTAGCACCATCATATAAAAACATTTTGTACAAAAAGCTGAATTGACCAACAAACCAAAGAAACAAATAGACAGACCAAAACTAAACTAAACAGAAACGCTTCTCCTGTCTGAAAAAGTTGATCTATACATCGTTGAATATTGAATTGCTGTAAGTATTCTGTGTTTGTGATTGAAGGGGAGAGTGGCATCAAATACTTGGAAGAACTACTGTGTCTCCTCCTGGTCACTATAATGCAATAATATCACCTCCAGACTGGAAATGCTAAGTGGTCAGATAATCCTGATCATCTGTTCTTTCTCTTGAAGAGAGCTTGCCTCATGAATTATCTCAAATCCTGAATCCAAACCGCTGGCAGCTTAAGGCTGTCAGTATTATCCTGCATGCGATCATTGGGACTGGCAACAGCAGTCAATAATCTTTTACTGTATTATCATCAGAATAGCCAATGGTTCCTTTTTTTTTTCTTCCATTCTGAGCGCTCATTGTGTGCATTAAAGTTTAATAAAGCACATTCTGAGCGTATTCAACACCGTTTCTTTACATTTCCTGAGGATGAATGACTGTATTATACAGTGTTCTTGCAAAGACATATTGGCTCTTTTAAATTGAATTCTTTCAACTATTAATAATATCATATCTGTGTTATTTGTCTTGTAATTAGGTAGGTTACCTTGACGAAACAATAACTAAGCAGTGGGCTCTCCGTTGTGCTCCTGAGCTGCACAGACTCATGGAAATGAAACACATGTTGTGTTTATTTTTAACTTCTAAAGTGAAATCATCTGAAGCCCCAGATATGTAATTTATTGCCCACAAAATGTGAAGTATTATTCATCTGAATTATTCAACAGTTTGAGTAAGCGAAGGGTTAGGGTTAGAAAAAAAAACTGCATCGTGTGTGTTTGTCAACTGATCAGAAGTGAAAATATGGAGCTGTTTATCCTGCCGTGTTTACAAACACTGCTGATGTAAACAAACCTTTTAACAGCAACAGGAAACATGAATAATTCAAATTTAGTTGTAGTCTCTCATTAAACTCCACATATTTTACATTAAATTGCAGTTTGTCAGCCCCCCCCCCCCCCCCCCCGTTTAGATTTGTTTTTTATGGATTATGCCTTTAAAACTGGAAATCTTGTCAAAGTTACTTTTGTACATTCATGCTTCATGTGGTGACTGATGCTAATACACTGAGTCAAAACTAAAACAGAAAAGACGTTAATTCCAGTAGACTGGCCAGCATTCCCTGTTACATATCATTATTAGTATGTGATGTCTCATAAAGCAACACATGAAATGACTTCATGAAAACTCTGTGACATATATTTGTTAATTGTTTACACAAAGGCCTATAAGTTCAATGAGGTACATTTACTTGATTTGATGAATTGTTGCAGTTATTCTTTAATAATTGCATCTCTTTATTTGTCTTTCATAAAGCCGATTGCTGTGTGAGGAACTCAACAAGCAGTGGAATGATAATGATCTGATCAAAAATAACCATATGATAATAATATCAATAATATCAACACTTTTAGGAAATATTTTATTATAAGTTTTGCATTAAATATCTGGTTTAGGAGATAAATCTTTTTAGCAGACTGTCTGAAATGTGAAAACAGAATACTAAACGTGTAGCTGGTCCATTTCAATCTAGTTTAAACTGTTCAGTGTGTTCAATTGTAGTTTAGTCTTGTGGTTTCATCTTTAGGGTCTGTCCCCTCCAAAGTGTCATTAGATAAATTAGAAAGATCAAAGAGACTTCATGGGAAAGCAAAGATAAAAAAAAAAAAATTCCAAATATCTTTGAGCCTTGAACAGTTCTTCTAGTGAAACCATGCGAGGTGCTCGGAGGGGAAATGTGGCTTTGGTTGTAGGTCAACACCTCTGAGATCTTTAATCTGACTAAGACATAGATTTGTTTTTGTTTTTTGTTACTATGGATCACAGGCGAAAAAAAGGGTGGAGGCTGTAGATTTACTCTTTCAAAATGTGTCATTCGTCTGTCATGTTTTTCTCTATGATGAATCTGAATGTGGAAACGAACCTGTCAAAGTTACTTTTCTGTCCCAGTGTTTGAGGTCAACAGATAAAGACAAACAATCACAGAGGTTAAAGAATCCTGACATAACCTCCTCAAGAAATAGATAACCATATACTATAGCTCTTGTTTTATTAAAATAATTTTAAGATATGGTTGCGAAAACTGTGCATTTATCTTTCCCTATGCAATAAACCATAAGCAAATAAGTTGATGTAGTTATGTGCATGCCACTGACCGTGTCAAAAAAAAAGGTGCAAATTGCTAACCGGTCAAAAAAGTAAGGCCAATTTGTAGGAGCCTTAAAACTGCATTCTTTCTAGTGGCCAGCAGGGGGCATCTCCACTGGCTGCTTCAGAAGTTTGCTCTATGGAAGCTGATGAGAAAATGACTCTGCCTGTCAACTGATTTATTATCTCAGGAAACACTTATGCTCAATGTATTCATGTGTAAGCCTTCTCCTATGCAGCAGGATGTCTGTTTTTTAATACTGCATTTAGAGTCAAATGCAGTATGCTTTCAGACATGCCCACTTACTGTTGAGAAGAGCCTCTCGCAGAAAGGAATATCTAACCCCTGTAATGGCATACACTCAAACTCCACAATCTCTTCAATGAAGGGTTTCTGTTTGTCATTTTTGATTGAACTTTTATTAACCCATGACTTGTCCTGAAATAATTTATCTTCCACAAGAGCGACCTGCTCATATTTTCAGTTATAGGTAAGAAGTAACATCGGCTTCATTGAGTTATGAAGGTAAATGTAGAGAAAGCGAAAGCATCAATACAGAGTTTTCTGAGAACAGCGAAAGAGAGAGTCCCAATCACAACGCAGAACAGGACTTTTTGTGGTCTAATTTATGTTTCTCTTCTTTTACTCCTAGTGATGCATTTTTACCTGAATGACTGACTGAAAATGATTCAGACATTATAGCAGCTATGGGGATACTTTGACATGACATAACCCAAAGCACCTCCATACAGTTCAAATAAGGAGATGTGTGGTGTATGTTGTGACTTAACGTAAGTTATCCTTTTCTTTCAGGCTCTTCAGATCCACCTACAACGCTCCAGGAGTCCCCCACCAGATTCCCACCAACAAAGCCCAAGTCCAAGGCCAAAGATCCCTCCGTGAAAGAAGAGGATACAAAAAGCACAACTGGTATGATAACATGGCTAAAAATGTTACAATGAGAATACAATTTGCAGATTTGACAATTACTGTTTCATTTGGGGACTTATATTATATTTTTGATAGCATGCTCACAAATCTACATTTGAACAATTCAGAAATGATCAATACTGAAGGCTAAGATGTTAAGTGAGTTTCAGGAAAAATGTGTTCACAATGGAAGAGACAAAAAAAAATCAGACACAAGTCTCCCATATTGCAGCTCATATGGATAAAGGGGAGCAAATGACAGAAACATTCAGACTGCATGCCAATAATAGTGAGACAGCACCAAATAAACCATAATCAACTAACAACCAACAAACTAAAAACTTTAGGATAATATGTACTTTTGGCAGAAGCTTTAGAAGTTGATGGTTGAGCGACCATTTATGTTTCCCTTACTTTTAATTTCCAGTAGGTTCTTTGTTAACTAAATGTTAAAAGACTAAATTGCTATTCTACCTCATCAAATACAAGTACGGTATGTATTAGGTTGCGGGACTTCTACTTTAATCTTCCCTGATAATCACTTCTGAAACCCTTTCAGTACAGAAGGGCTCCGGACTTTTGACTTGTAGGATCCTAAAGATTAGAGCTTTGTCTCGCATGTCCAGCTGTTCATGTTAACACATACTCCTCTTAATCTGTCCTCATTTACTCCTCCATCTTTAGAAAAAGGACAGACAACCCCACATGGCGTCCCTTTCTTTGAGCCAGGACTGTTCATGTGGATTGTGTGTGGCGGTGTGATCCTCCTGGTGGTTATCATAATTGTGGTGGTGGTTCTGTGGCGGTACCGTCGCCATCAGGGCGTCCCAGTCAGCCAGCAGTCCGATGCAGTGTCCCTCAACACTCTGGCCGTGCCGAAGCGGGACAGCATCAGCAGCGACAACAATGGCTCGGACCGCAGCGATGTTGTTTTTCCTCTCCGGGCTTCCGACAGTATGATCTGTCGTCATTACGAACGTGTAAGCTCTGACTACGGGCCTCCTGTGTACATAGTTCAGGAGATAACGCCGCAGACTCCCACCAACATCTACTACAAAGTCTAATGGCTGCTGCTCTGGAGCCAAACTTCTGCTGAGAAACTATCAACAACACACTGAAGCTGCTGTCAGTGACACAGAGTTGTTATGGAAGGCATGAAGAAAAAGACAGAATGAATCTAATCTTTGTGTGACGCTGTCCCATGAGGACGTACACATTTTGTTTTGCTAACATATTGAAAAGACAATCAGACAGGAAGTTAACGTCTTAACGCCTCCTTGTGTTCACGAGAAACTTTTTCTTTTTCATGTTCTACACTTGACTACAGTTTAGAGCTATCTGTACATTATTTAAGCAATTTCATACATGACACTTTTTACTTTGCATCATTCATCATTACAAGTGACTTTACAGAGTAGAAGGACTGTTTCAGAGCGCAGAACTCTGAGAAGGCCCGCCGTCCTGTCCTCTATGAAAATCTGCAACTACTTCTTATGTTTGGAACTATCAAGCAAATGCAACAAGTATTTAAAAACATTATTGTGCTCATCTGCAGCATCTTCATCTTACTATTGCATTTTTAATTTAATACGACAGTGGAAAAAGTGTTGTAATAAATAATACCGTTTAACAAAACAAAACAGAAAACAACACCAACCATTATCACAAACAAAAACGGTATGCCAACAGTAAAGAAATACGTAGGTACGATCCTGCTCTGGTCCAGGATTCAATAGGTGTTCCTTTAGCGCATGCTTAATACGTTTCATTCAAATGAATGGGCAGTCAGTGTTTCCGTAATCCTGCTGACACACAGGCAACAAGAAAGTAATGCAAACACAACCTCCTTGATGGAAGTAGTTTAGATTTGACCAACTTTAAATATCAAACTAAAATACTCTTTGATTTATTTAATTACAATTGTTGCCTAGTAGTAAAAAAAAAACGACATTTGAGTTATATGTCACTTATAGCTCCGGGTAATTTCAATGCATCCCCTGAGGTTTTCTATCAAACAAAGACAACAATAAATGGCTCGAAGTTGACATTAAACTAGCCGATTAATCCATAATAAAAACACTCATGTTCACTCTTGTCCCGCTCAACTTTGAGCTCCTTCAATGATTTATTTTCATACTTTATATGCTTACATACTATCACTCAAAACATTGTGAAAGCAGGACTTTGTTGTAATGAAGAACTTTTGCAAGACTTTAACTGAAGGAAACAATCAAATCAAATGCTTATTTGTTCATGTTGTTGTTTTCCAGAAAAACTACATTTATCACTGCAGCTTTATTTATTATTGAAGTACTTGTGTATTTAATTTATTGATAAATCTCCAAACATTGACTGTGTACTTCTACATATTACATTGGGATGTTTTTTTTTTCAAAACCTAATTGTGTACGCTTTGTCTGAAATAATGTTAAGAGAAATGAAAATCACAATTTTTTTTAACTTTTATTAAAGCTAAACAATTTGAAGAGATTTTGACACTCTTTCTCTCTGACCATGGCAGCCATATTTAAACATTTTAAATTGTTGCTCTCTTAAAGATTATTTCTAAATATTCCTCAGTATTCGACCAGGACGTCGAGCTTCAAGAAATGTCATTACTTCATCATGGAGAGGTTGTTGCTATTGTTTTTAATGTGTCAGCATTGTTGTCTTGTCTGTTTTCCGCTCTTCACCAAAACTAACTACAACCACTGTGAAAGGTAAAGACACAGAGAGAGCATGAAAAAAAGAAGAAAATAAAGAAATGAAAGTTAGAGAGAGAAATCACAGCACCCTCTCTCAGCTTTCAGATGACTTACAAAATGACTCAGCAATGCATGATGACTTCAAACAACAGTAAGCTGCATCACTATTTACATACAGCTTTGTTAAAGGTATTTTCAATCTGACTTTTCGTTTGTACAAAATGTTTCATGCAGAACGTCTCAACCAGCAGCCAAGAATCAGGCTGAAATGGCTGCAATGTAATTCAGGGAAACTGCACCCAATGTAGGTTAGCCCCTTAAGTTTCTATCTTTTTCTACCTACAGGGTTGGGTTGATTGTCTAAGTGTCTAACAATAATGTGGAAGGGATACTTACAGAGATAGACATTTTTATAAAGGATATAAACTCTCAGATGAAGTGTCTCTCTGAGATCTCGCAGTGAAGGGTGAGGTGATGCAGGAAGATGTGAGTTAGAGCTTTGAGCAGAAGTTTCTTGTGTTGATGAACAGCAAGTGTGAATATGTTACATCTTTCTATATTGATTTGAAAAATCAAGCATTAACAGTATCTGAAGTTTACTTGCAGCCAAATCAGCTTGCTTATTGTCTGCTGGTTGAGGCCATCTGCCTGAGACTAAGGAAGGGAAAAATGTTTTGTTACTTAAAGTCGTTAAGACCCTAAAATATGCAGAAAGGGCGCAGGTTTATAAATACCAGAGACTTTAATCTTTAAGACTAACATGGCCTTCAGCAGTGATTATAACCAGTGATTACAGGACTTTAAGAAGTTTTTGTTAGTTTCGATTAAAGCTGTGGTGGATTTGAAACCATCTTCAAAAATACAAAATATATCCTCAGTGATTTTGGATGGGTAGATGCTTCAATGAGCCACTGCTCAGAGGAGCATGTCTCCTCATTACTTAATGATGCTCATGGGAGAGTGTCTGTCAGTCTGCAGTGAACAGCACCATGATGAGTTTTCACCATGTCATGTTAGGTCAAAAGCACAAAAAAATATTTTTATAACGCATAAATGCTGTTTGAATTTGTGGAAAACTCTGGATTATATTTTGGAACCTGCCCATATAAGAGTATTTACAGCCATAATCGTGTACCCAATAGGACAACAGATGCATAAAGCCCTTCTTTAAAATCTCAAATATACAAATTTCTCTGCACCGCTCATTAAAGAACATGTTGTTCATCTACAGTGTCATTCTTGCAGGTCATCACGTTTGCATAACCGGCCTTTGCGCCATCAAATCCTCTGCAAAGGTATCAAACAACGAGAAAACACGTTTGACATCTGTAGAGACAATAATGAAAATACTCAACATTTAACTGTCTCACCATTCTCTCCTGTGGGCACTGTGCATGGCATCCATGGGTGAACATGTTTCATGCTCCTTCAGCCACATCATGCCGCACATTTTCAACCTGTCAGCCTCCATGAGCTTCTTCTCCACCAGGGACACGGCAGCGTCTGAGAGCGGGGGGGGGGGCAGACTGGAGGATTTTCAGGACATGTGCTCCATGTGTGCAACAAGCAGGGAAAATGATTAAGGTGCTATATACAAAAGAAGGTAAAACTGATGGCATTTCAAAACATTGTAATGAATAACTTGTATTTTCCACACTGAACTACTTTTTCAATACAGTAGTGAAAATGATGTGGGATTGTCCCCATTGCAAAGAAAAAGCTATAATAGAGGATGAATTCGATAATTACTAACAGATAACTTTGCTGCCACTTTCCAAAAATGATTTCTGTAATAGACCAACTTGTCTCAGTCATTTAAACCTCTACTATCCTGACCATGCAGTGAGCTACAGTCGGATAAACCTCACATCATTTCATTCACAGAAATGTGATTTCTGATCACTTTGAACATGAATAGTGTATTTCAACATTGTGAAAAAACAATATCTTAAATGAGTGTATGACTCTGAGACAGCAAAGAGCATTCAGTATCTTTGTGTGTGTGTGTGTGTGTGTGTTTTCCCAACCCCTCGCTTGAAGTTATCCCTGCTCTGGTGAGATGTTTTGTCCTATGTGAGGCTTCACAGCTGAATGGGCTGTGGTCAGGCGAGGTGAGTTCAGTTGACCTTGGGGTCACCCGGAGACAATGGTGGCCGGGCTTTTATAGGAAGAACAACACAGAGACCCCCAGGCTCCTGGCCTCTTGTGGTGGGAGGGTCTTAGATATGGTAGGCCATTTTATAGAGAAAGAGGAGATGGGATGCTGCATATATGGGGGGACGGGACATTGTTGATCGTAAGTACAGGTTTAAATGTTAGAAGTGCACATTGTTTCAGCTGCACATTTTATCTGATCAATCTGTGATCTGCTCACCTTTTCAGGGATTTTAAACCTGCACATGTTGTTTACAAACTTCTCTTTCTTTATCTTCATCCAAATAACTTATCATTTGGAAAAATGCAACCAAATAAATGTGATTATTTTTTTTTTTTGCAGCTGACACCTGCTCTGATATCATGATCTTAAACTATCATTTGTGCAGAGACACAGAGCTTGAAGAGGAAAGAGGGGATGGGGCAGGGGGTCCAACAAGGAGAGCCGTAAGCTTTTATCTGACCCCATGAGACGATGTGAAGTCGACAACCCCCCCACCCCCCACTTCACTTCCATATGCAGAGGAACTAGCCCCACCGCTGGTTTTGTGTTGGGGGTTGGGGGTCATGACTGAGCGCTCCCACTCCCACAGTGTGCTCAGAGAAGTGGAGACAAACAGATAATGTGCTTTTAGGTTTGAAAAGTTTTTGTTTTTTTTATCAATGGTTGGATGGAGAATTAAAAAGATCAAGTCAGATAGACGTTTTGGAAAGACCATCTCTTTCTGAGGACGGTTCAGATACATTTTACAATATCAACATGAAGAAAAGAGAGATGTTTTTTTTTACAGTTTTAAATAATTGAGATGAATAAAACTTTTGATCAGCAGCAGGAGAACATAGTTTTATTCCTCTCTGAAACTCCCTTTGTTACATAAAGCTGATTTTTTTTTTTTAAACAACAGAAACTCCAGTGATGGGGAAGTTGTGGTCTGTGCTTCCTCTTACAGTTGAACAGTAATCGCATCTTTATGGATTTACAGTATACAGTTAGCTAGTTCCCTCTGCTGGCCAGCTACCATACTGTACCACACTCATCTGTTGGTGAAAATGTACAGGATTGAACACATTTCATCTGGAGAAAACAATACATTTTATGGATATCATTTGGCTTTGAGCGACTCAAAGTTGTTTTGTGTCTCAACTTATTACTAGTCTTTTTTCTACAGTACTGTTTATTAAAAGGTGAGCAGCCATTTCTGAATTTCATCAAACGCTCATAAAGATTTAAAATGAATGTGCAGAATGGTGGTAATATGTTGATCATCCTTTTCTCTTTGTTGTTCAACTCCAATAAAAAAAGTACTGAGAGTGAGAGTACTTTATTCAACTGTTCCCAAATCTTTATGTTGTGAAAAGAAACCTCACAGTTAATGTTTTTTTACGTTTTTAAAAGCAGCAGAGGGAACTACTACCAGAAACGTTAATATGTGAGAGTTGCAGCCAAGACAAAACTCTTATTTAAGTTAAATTACTGATACAACTTTTTTGTTCGTTAAAGTAAAACAATAATCTATGAAACCTTGTAAGACATTCAAGAAATTATTCTTTAGTGCAACAGAGAACTTTGTCTCAAGGTAAACAGCTGTGAGATAGTTTAAAAAAGTGAAACATTTCCCTTTTTAATGAAGACAAGTCGAAGTTTAATGTAACATAAGAGGATACGTGTAATTGTGAGAAATGTGGCATAAATCATTCTTAAGTAAATGCACCCAAATCATGTCGACTTTAAAAATGATGCACATGATTTTTTTTCTCTATCGAAATGCAAATTTGTAGAAAACAATGAAACAGAGGTTTGATACAATTATTTCAGCATATTCAACAAAGTTGTCACCGTGCACAAGCCATTGTCATGTCAATAAAAACAGTCCTTTGTTGTGCAGACAAATCTCCTTCATACATTTGAAGGCGGTATGTTTTATTTGATAGATTAAATGTTTATAATTCTTTGATGTCACACAGCAAAAAAAGATTGTGTCGGAAAAATGCTCTGAGAGTTTAACTCTTTATTAGATGCAGAAAACGTTTGGAGTTTTGATTCTGGGCCCTACATCCTGTCGGGGGGCCCCTGCATTAAACTGCAGAACTCATATTTTGCTGCTTTGGTTTGATGGAGATTGTTTTTGGTTGAGCTGTTTTGTTTTATCTGAGAAGAAAGCTAAACCAGAGAATCAGGGGCATACTGTGAGCTCTCTTGAAATGTTAGAAGTATTTTTTGTAACCATATTCACAGTTCAAACAAAAAAACCCCATCCCTAATCTGACTAAATTCTAATTATTAAAGTGTATTCACTTACTCTAAAATATTCTTAATAATTGTTTAGTTAGCTATAAAAACTTCTGATCTGTTTCATCTTTGTTTTTCACTGATAGTGTCCTTGTCATTTTTATTAAATGAAAAAAGGGTTATCTTGACTTTGTTGGTTTTGATTATTTTTGGAAAATCATTTCAACATTTATAGGCTATTTCAAATGTTTGTAGACTTTTTGTCAGAGTAATAATCAAAAATAAAATGTTGTTTTTTTAAAAAATAAACTGTCCAGATGGAACTGATAGGCTAATTAAGATAAACCACTATTGGATAAAAAAAAGAAAAACATTTCAATACCAGATTCCCAACTGGAAGTCACTGGTTTTAAGGATATAATGATTTTAAACACGAAGACCAACTTACTCCAGACTGAAGAATAGAAAACCTTTAATATATATTTTTTTAGAAGTTTAGTTTTTCTACTTTTCATAGCTGACTTTATTAAGGATAGTTAAAAAGTAACTGTTGAAATAATTGTTTTTTTAAGTATCACACTGTCTATCACACACATTTCTGCAGCAAATTCAAAGTTTAAAATGACAAGGCTTACTCATAGTGTTTCACTGTTTTTTGCTAACATAACATGTGTTAAGTAAATGTAAAATATATAATTTTTTTTTTTTGTCTTTAATCGAGGAGAGAATAAATTTAACGAATCAATTAAAATGAGCATAAACATCAATAAACCTACATGCAAAAAAAATCAAAAAAAAAATCATATATTGTGGAGCAGCAACAGGTTAATTAGTCGTTTTATATTTTTGATAAACGAACATACAGGACAATAGATCGAAATAATCCACGGATTTAAATGTATGTAGTTTTACTTATTGTTTATTATAGTCGAGGTTTCGGGTAATTCTGCAAGCCTACTCCTTGTTTTACCGCAAACTTAGATGTGCTTTTAACTCCATGACTCAGCCGGCTGTTTTCCCCCCGCTATGCATGCGTTACAATGTTAATACATAAAAGGTGGTAGAAAAAGCCGCAGTGATTCCCTGTCTTCTTTCCCCCCTCGCCTCCCCTTGGAGAGGTGGAGGCTGTTTGGTTGGAGATGTGGGGTCGGAAGTACCGTAGTTTATGTATGCTAATGGGGGAGAGTTGGGGGTTGTAGCTAGATATTTACGTTCAGTGGGAGCCGCCCTTCATTCACCCACATGGTTACCAACTGGTCGCCTTCGCGCCACTTTCCTAACCAAGCAATCATTTTTAAAACAGCGTATCTGGGCTATAAATTGCCTCCAGATTGACTCGGATCACACTCCAGACTTCGCTCTTGTTCACCGGTAGAAAAGTTTTCGGATCAGTTACGTATTTATGTCTCTCTTTTGTCGGCGAGAGACTAACACGGCGAGCCCCAAGCAAGTGAGCGAAGATGGTGGATTTCGGCTGGGTGAGTGTCTACCGAGCGCATGTTTATCGGCAAGGAAGTCGGGTTTTTGGGTTATTATTATTATTATTTTTAAATCTCTGTATTGAGTGAACAACCTCCCCCCCTCTATCCTTAAGATGATGCTTTATGCTCGCTTTCTAAATATTATGTGGTGGTTGGTGGTAACACATAAAAATGCTATGTTGGGGGGCGATGAAAACAGTGTAACGTGAGGGCGCATGGCAGCCCCCTCTTTGCTCCACCATTTGAGGGAATGAGGGAGATTTGAAAAAGCTTGTCCGGAGCTTTTTTTTTTTTCTCCATGCTGCGCTTTTCGCAACTAGTTGGAATAAAAAAAAAAAAAAAAAAATCACCTCGCCTCGTGTTAAACCTCCCTCCTCGTTATTTTTTTTTAAACACTCACAATCCCGATGTTTGACGAAGTAAGTTGATGTTATTTTGACTTGATTCTTGGCTTGTTCTTGCAGTGCAGTGGTGTGTGAGTTAAAGTGCCCCCCAGAACAAAGCAGCAGCACATGGGGGCAGCTGTAGGCCGCGCGGGTTTTTTTTTTTTTGTAGCTCAGCTAGCCTAGCCTAGCTGGATAAACTTATATTATACAGCCGTGTTATGGGGTTAAAAAAACAAACAAAAAAAACACAACAAGCAATGCATTATAAACGTGCTCACTCAAATTAATATGCAGACAATATAAGCTGACTACACCAACACGACGTGATGTGGTGTTCCGTCTGCATGTTGGTGTGCTCGTTTTGTTGTTTGTAGCTAAACATGCATCGTCAAACTCAATTACTATTTTATTATCGTGCGGGCTATTTGTAGACATGAGCTGGCTGCTTTTACTGTAACCCCCCCACCCCACTGGCTGCTCTTGTGGCGGTTTCTAGGCTTCTTGTTATATCGTTTATATCGATGTTTTCATAGAGCTAACACCAGCTTGCAGCGGCTAAGCTACCTTGCTGCTGGTCTCTGTTCCTACACCTGGCCATCACCTTTCTTTTTGTTTCATGGAAGTCCGTTTTGGCAAACTACACTACAACCTCTCCTGTCAAATAACAAAACAACAACGCAGCCATCAATTTCAGCGTGTTATACTCTTTTTATCGTACTCTTGTTGGTGGATTTTAAAAGCCATTTCAGCTAAGGTTGGCGCACTTCGAGGCGCCATGTTAAAAGACGGTGGGGGAGGGGTGATCAACATGGTTCTTTGCGCATGCGCCTCAGTGGCGCAGGGAACGCGGGCCGCAGGCTCTTGCTACTCATTCATGTTTTCAGTGACCTCGTGCTGCTGTGATAAATCATAACATGCCACAACAAACCTATGTAATTATCGACTAATCAGGGACTATAAACATTTATCAAGGGAATGGGAGCTCAATTGAAGTAGCTTACACGTGCTTTACTATTCTTAATAAGCTTTAATATTTTTTATTTTTTATTTACAGATCCACTATGACGTGAAGGACTCCAAACTATGTTCACCATGAAGCCGTTTGCCCATCTCTCCCATGGTACTGGGAGGGCAGTCAGGCTGTTAAGTCTGTGTATTGTCAAAGTGCTTACAGTGCAGGTAGTTCTATGTAATACCTACTGCAGTGGAGGCACTTACAGCAATACCCAGACACTGTTGTGCATGTTCTGTGCTGTTGAATGTCATGTTGAAGTACTGTCTTTGTGCTAAGGTGCATCTAGTGCAGATAGTGAAATAGACTAGCACCTACTGCCCTAAGTGCTCCTTCTGGCATAAGGGGCTGTGATATGCGCCACCAGACCATTCTTAATTTCTGATTGGGCTCAATATCTCGCAGTTCTCTGCTAGTTTTGCATAGTTGCACTACAAGAATAGATGAGTTGTGCAAATCTATGCAAAACTGATGGTGGCCTGCTTGCTCTCCACCTGTTTTTGTTCAGATTTTGGTTGTGGGGGTGACACATCAAACTCAATCTGCTTGAATTGTACACATGCAATATTGTGTTTAAAAAAAAAAAAAAAAACAAGGACATTTTTGGTTCACACCCAGCGACACAGTTTCAGCAGTACTAAAGTGCTTATAGTGCAGGTAGTGTTTTCTCCTATCTACTGCAATGTGAGCACTTAAAGTACTTCTAACTAACCGCATCTTGCTGAAGATCTCGTTAAGAAATTCTCGCTCATGTGTTGATCGTCACTTGGTCAGTTTTGCTGGTTTGCATTCAGCTTTAACTCGTGTTTGCTGTGCAAATCCATGCAAAACTGACTAGGTTGATGAACTATGTTCCAACGAGTGGAAATGCTTCACAACAATATTGATTTACCTCTTTGTCATGTGCACATACTAAACATGCAGACGTCCCGTCCTGTGCAGGTGGGGATTGGTAGCAATGCTGTGTAATTTGAGGTATTGCACTTGTCCCGGCCTGTGTGGGATTGAGGAGATGGAGCCCTGACCCGAATAATCACCCAAGAAAAGTTGTGAACCAAGCAGTGTCCTTGTGATGTTTTGACCAGATTGGTCAGTTTTGAAAATGCATTTAATTCATGATGTGGATGAGTATACACTGCTTAACTGTAATGTTGCTTGAAATAAATAAAACAAATTTGAAACATTTTTCTCTGAATATTTTGTTGGATGCTTTTGTTAAGACTCTTTCTACATGCTTTAGCTGCAGAACATTATTTGTTACTGTCAGAGTTGACCTTCGATTTCTAAGTTAATGGGTGCATTTATAGTGAAATTAAGCTGTCAAATATTTTTGATTGCCGATAATGTGATGCATTAAATGAGGTCAATCAGCTAGTCACGTGGCACCATGAACCCTCTCCAGCAGTGTTGTGCCTACCATGAATCAAAGAGCTACCAAAATTGCATCATATCACGAAGTGTTATTTCTGAATTAAACAGAAGCCATAGTTGAGGGGTAAAACAATAAAGTAGTACATATGTAGGCCTACATTTATTTTGATTTGGAAATGCATAATCAATGAGATGCTAAAAAGGCGGCCTTTGTCGTTATATCACCTGTCGATATTAAGCACGGAGCCTGATGCATTGTATTTGTGTTAGAAATAAATGTTATTCCCCGATGCAAAGAATCTTAAAAATTACTCGAAAGTCCTTCTTGAAAACTCATAACCGCATAAACATCTATACATTTTGTGCGATTTGGAGAGTGTGTTTACAGGGGCATGGGGTTATTAATTCAAAACACTTTTTATTGAAAAAAACATGAAATAAGAAATACTGTTTACTGTGGCCTTTTCAAATTAACTTCAGCTCTGTAGCCTGCGTTTTTTTTCTTTTTTTTTTTTTTTAAGCTGGCCATAAATATGAATCGTGAATCAATTTAATTTGACGCATGTCCACTTGGTGGCGCTCTCGGGCCACAGGTCAGCTGCACATCCAGTGGCGGAGTGCAGGTAACGTTATGGTTCCGCCTCTACTGTCGGTCCAACCAAGTCGGACAACATGCCGCCTTCAAACAGGGCAGTCTACCCTCAGTAACTTTCCCTGTGAGGAGTTTTTCAATGATTGTCCGGAGCGTCAGTACGGGACGAACCCGGACTCCTCATGGTCGACGCTGAATCCTGAACCTTGACATGTGGACGGGACTCACCTGAGGGGACTGCAGGTTTATAGAGGAAATACAACTTTCAGACAGGCTTGTTTTCTTGCGGGGTATTTATCACAGGATTGGATCAAAAATGGGTGTGCTGTGGATGAGCTACATCTTCTTCCCGGCGTGTTGTTTTGGATTAGTGTTTGGAAGCACCAACAAATGCGACGAAGTGCGAAAAGTTTTCCAACTCCTGCAAATTGGACCGAGTCAATTATTGCCTCAAAGTCCTCGACCAGGTATGTTGGAGTTCATCTTATAGATTAAGACATTATTGTAGATTTTTCCCAGCTTCCTTTTCATAAATTATTCAGCCAGCAATGCAGATAGGCTATGTCACATTTCTTAGTCAACATTTTTTACATTTTCTTCATTTCTACTTACATGGCAACCTGAGCATCAAAATACCAATGAATGAAAATGATGCACTCCAGAAGTTATCCAATCCAACATGACCTCCCTGTAGAACTCGTAAACCCAGCTTTTAACCTGTCATTTGCTTCTTTCTAGAAGTCTACAGTTACAAAACACACCTTTTAAAACCCATTTGAGAGGCGTGTGTGCAGTTATGATAATGATATACACAGGCAGGCACACAGCAGAGCTTTCAGCTAAATGGCATCTTTTGTGTGACTTTTTAAAACAAGTTTTTAAGAGTCTCAAATTACTGCAAAATCTGGGTTTACAGAAGTCCATCTCTCTGTGGCTACAGTTGTTGAACACATAACCTCCTGTGATGTATTTCAGCACTGTTTAAGAGTAATAATTGGAGTTGAACTATACAAATACAAAACAAGTGTTGATTCCATCTATTTCAGGATTTTGTTTGGAGATTTGTGTTTGTACAACCAAACAGCCAGTCAAAGCTGTCACTTTTTGTTTACCTCTCAGTATGATTAGCAGTGCATGAGCTAATATAACATGTGCTGTGATAATCCCATGAAACAAGGAAACTAAAGCTGCTGAGATTACTTTTTGGTCGTGACAGAAACCAAATAAACCAAATTCTGCTCCTTTGGGCCGTCCAAGGCGGTTAAGTGGCTTTCAGGGATAAACAGGAATTATTTTGTGTAAAGTTATGTACACAGTGTAACTCAACAATTACCAGTCACAATCTTTCATTTTGGCTGTCACTGACTTGACTTCTTGCTGCTGCTCTCTGTGCTTTCTCAGAGAAGTAAATCTTAATGGTGTTGACTGCCATCCTGCCACAAACTGCTCCCCATAAACTTCACCAACCCTTTCCTCTGCTGCTGAGAGGAAACCAACGCAATTGACAGAAAACCCTCAAACGCCCCCTAAACCTCTAAATAACCTGTTTAATGCCATCAACACTCCTGCCCCATAAATTGCACCCATGTGGCTGTATGGATTTAAAGTGCTGTGGCGCTTATTTTACTGAGTTGCATTTTTGTCCAAGTAAACCTCATTTTCATTGTAGATTAATGTCTTGGAAATGTTAAACCTACCAACAAGTTTGGAGGTAGATGAGGAGAAGTGTTTTCTAAAACCGAAATGATGTCTTAAAATGTCATTTTAAGTCTACAACCATAAGAGATTAGATTTGATCATTAAAAGTCAAGAAACAAGAAAACAGTCAGTGACTTGTTTTTAAAACATACTCAGTCTTGTTTATCGATGACTTATTCATTTATTAATTTCAATAAATGAAAATTAATCCATGAATAACTGTAGCTCTTCTGAAACCTGAACATAGTGTCTCTTTCTTCCCCTTAAAGCTTCTTTTTTCAGTAGCTACAGTTTTATTTCTGCATCCCCGGTGACCTTACATAGTACAAACATCCTCCAGGACCACAATGCATCTTGGCATTGGACATATTGTTTCCTTGATGGATTCAGATGAATGCACTGAAAATACATCAGATAGGGAAACAGGAGATAATGTGTGATATAGTTGATCTTACGATTTTTGATGTTATCTTTAGTTGATCCTGTGTTTGGAGAGAAGACATTACCTCCAGAAATTCCCAGGAATCATCGGGAGCAAGCTGTCTCCATGTGACTCTCTAAAAGTGCCACACATCCCTTAGTTTAGGTCAGAACTTCTAGAAGTTCATCACCTCAGCCAATCTAAGCTGTTTTCAGCTGTGTTCAAAGTGGAAATAGTTCTTGTAAGCATTTTAAAAAAAGCAGGACCTGGGGCACTTTCAAGTTGTCTTATCTTGGAGAGTTTGAATTCTTCCACATGTGCCATGCTGCCCCCTCTGCTACCTCCTCGTTCCTGAACCTCGCAGGGTGCTGATAGCGTCTCTGGCAACATCTCTGTGAGCTCTGCCTAGGCATGTCGGAGACGCTGCTGTAGAGTTTTGGGTCGCTTTTAAGATGTTTTGATTGTCCCGTATGTGTGCAGATTGCTTCCATTTGTTCACAGAGGCAAACCTGAGACGTGACCTGATGAAGTGATAATGCTTTGACGCAGATCTTCTATCAGGTCCAAGTAGTTTTGTTTTTTTCTTGCTCAAGTAAAGCCCTCTAACTTTTGCACTGCTAGATAGCAGTGATAGCAAGAATAGACTGCCAGTATATTATACAGATATGAGGATTTCATGATCAAAGTACATATTTTATAGGTTTATTACTCATTCATGTGCCATCGTGTGCTCCTCTAGCCCCTCATCCGAGGTGTACTTTTGCAAGATGTGTGTCTCTAGGTTGGAAAGTTTGATCCTGGCATTAGCCACTCCACAATCTGGGAACCCTCTGGCTAAACCTCAACTTTTTTAGGGCATCCGTATTAGCCAGTTGTAAGCCATAAAGGACTTCAAGACCACCTTTTCCATATGTTGTCCTTATTTTCAGTCTGTCTAGAGAAGTGAGAATGGAGTTGAAAGATCTAGAGAAATGAATAGAAGCTGAATTGTTTTTAAATGATTGATGTGTTCAGGGAAGCAGTAGTCCGGATTTGTTCAGCCCCTTTTGCTCTCCACACAGACTGTTCTTTATATGCCGTGTGTCACTTATACACATAATCTGTAACTAGAGATTAATCAGTCCACCACTGTGTCCAAATACGTCATTGTAATAACATGGCCTTCAAACCAACTGTGCTGATTTTCTTACCCCCTCTTTCCCCTTCCCAACAAGTTTGCTTTTGTGTTTTTGTGTGTGTGTGTGTGTGTGTGTGTTCATTTCTCTACACTACAAGGTGGATTGCTGCGAAATTCGTTGCTCACTTTCATGTTCCTCTGATGGTGAATCGTATTGATCTTGTACTTGTATTTTACGGTTGAACCTTTATTAACAAAATGCTGACTTTCACATTAGCTTTAAAGGTGCATTATGTAGATTTGGTAGTGAAATTTGAAAGTTGGACAAGTGAAACAATTCTGTGCTCTATTTTCTGAACTTAATACACAAACTTTACTCAAAGAAAAAAAATGGATCCCTGGAGCTAAAAAGCTACCAGGAGAGTTACGGTTTCACCTTTGTGGACCACCTACCATAACTTCTTGTGAATCATTTTATCTTCAGTGTCCCAGGGACCACATTTTCCTCTTGAGGATAGTTTGTGTATAGAGTTATGAACATATAACACAAAATCTGTACATTTCTCCAACTTTCACATTTCTCTCCCAAAACTACACAGTGCACCTTTAATATAACTTACTTATTTGATAACTAGCAATTGGTATGGCAACATACTAGACTAAGATGATTTACATGCTCACAATTATAACAACCATGTTTACATGATATCAAGTTTATTTAGACTAAGGGGAACAGAGACGTTTATAAGAAAACATTTAAATCAGAGAAGGTTAAATATAAAGATATGCAAAAAATGAAGCTCCAAAAGACATAAAGAAATATGGCATTAAGCAACAATAAGAAATCAAAATACAAAATATATAAATTACCTCAAATTTAAAATGTCATGACACTGTCTACTCTGCGTACCTTTCAGTGTAAAAGTGCTCAGAAGTCCTGACTTCAGAGTTTTACCTTTCCGACGGACACTGAACTTGCCTAATAGAAATGAATGCTGTTTATCAATCCACCCTAGAACATCTTCCTGAGTATTTAGGATCACATATTGCCCAGATCTCATGAGTATGTTAGCATGCTTTTGTTAGCATTAGGCCCAAAGCACTTTAATCCAGTGCCTCTGCTGTAGGTCAGATTTTTACTGACAAATTGAGTTTTTCAATTCAGTTTTTTACATGTTAACTTGTGTTTGCTAACACTTAAGTGCTGTTGTGATACTAAGTTAGTAAACGTGAACTAATAAACCTGCTTTACATTCGCATGATAACAATGTAATGAGTGTGTTGTTAGTGTAAGGCTCAAATCATTGCCGTGCCTCATCCAGTCTGACATAACTAGCATGTTCCCTCTCTGATGAATGCTGCTACAGGAAGGAAAGCTGCTTGTCATTTCTGGACAGTTCCCTGTTTGTCATACAGATGATATAGAGGATAGTTAGAGACGCTCACTTGTTCATACCTCCAGGGAGTTTTGGGTGTCAGATCCACCTGACTTGGATATCTTTGGAATGTGTAAAGAAAAGTGGAGCAGCCTGAAGAGAACGAGCAAATCCTCTGCCCCAGTTTATGCCTGTCATGTAGAAGCATTTCACTCAAGTCACAGGGGTAAGCATTCCTGTCTCTGAAAAATAAACACTTAGTGATGTTGGTAAAAGGAAAACCCACTTCAGCATCCTGCAACATGGGCTTTACCATAACCCAAAAGACTTTATATCATAGTGAGAAATATTTAATTTTGCACACATAAAAAAAACAAAACGAATTCAACCCATTTCCCAAGATTCAAAACCAGTGTGATTCTTGATGGTCTATTATGATGTCTGCTTGATTGAAACAAGATGGACAAATTCATCTAGAAGTCCTTCTGGGTTTCATAAATTGATGGGAATTCTAATGTATTAGTGATGGCAGAGGAAGAAATCATTTACAGAAATGGATAAGGACTGAAAGAGACTCTAGAACTGCAACGCTGTTACAATCTCATGTTGTGTAATAATGACTGCAATCTCGATGACTCTTAGGTTCAGACCTTCAGGTGTGCATGTCCAAGAACCTGAGCTGCTGCACCAAGAAGATGGAGGAGAAGTACCAAGTGGCGGCCCGGAGAGACATCCAGAACCTCCTCCAGACGTCCAGCTCCAGCCTCAAGTTCCTTATCTCACGTAATGTCGCCACTTTTCAAGGTAAGAGTCCGAACGGCTTTGTGTGTTTAGTCTTCACTGTTGTAAAGGTTTATCTTCATCAACTTTGTGCTGAGTTGAGACCGCAAATGTTTACACGGATAATTACATGTGTGTAGATGTTTGTGTGTATTTCCCAGGCAGTCGGGGTATGCATTTAGGAGTTTGGGTCTGTGTGGGTGCTGTGAAAAACACTGGATGAGTCAGATTGTGTGTTTTGTGTGTGTGTGTATGCAGCGTGCCTCCACTTCAGAGCAGACAGAGCAGGGTCTTTCCTCCCTCCAGATCTGCAGCTCCACAAAACTTTTGGGATTAGATAGATTTTCTGGAGGCTGTCTGTAAAGGTGAATGTCTGTCAGGTATACAAACAGAGGCTTTTTCTAATCACTTCCCTTCCTGTCATGCTCCTCTGTATGCCCTAATGAGAAAATCAAATCCTCTTTTTTTCTAGTTTTCAGGAACGCATTTAACCCATCATTGACTCATTATTCACCGACAGCCTCCTTTCCCCACTTTTTTCTCAACCTCTGTCTCGTTCTGTTTTCCATACCTCTCCATCCTCTCACCCCGGCAATGACTGATAGTCGACTCACAGGCAACAACTTGCCTCAGTCTGCGCTCACTCCCTGCCTGGTGTGGGATGTTTCTCCTACTTTAGCTGATAGCTGTCATATGACGTCTGAAATGAGTGGGCTACAAATACAGAAGCTTATGACTTGAATGTGCAGACGTATCATTAAACCAATTCACTTTAATGATGTCTCTCAGTTTTTAAGACGTGCTGTTATCCTCCACCCAAACGCAAATGATTTATAGGGAGACACTTGCATGATCACAGTGATTTAGTGGAGGTTTGCAGGGGCAGTGCCTGGTTGAAGTCATTCAATGTGTGACGTGTCTGAAGGTGAACTAACATTCTGCCTTTTAAAATAAAGTTTGTAATGTTTATGTTACCACTTAGATATGGTTAACTTATAACAAAGTTGAAAACAGCTTTATGAAAAATGTTGGCGTTCAGGGTTTCTTTTTGAAGGATGAGATGTTTTTGTGTATATATTTAAATACTGTCCTTTCATCGTCTGTGGAATTTAGCCCCATACTAAAGTGGTAAGTCTTTAAATTGGTCACAAATATATTTTTTCTACCTAAAAGTGTTTGTAGAAGCTTTGTAAAAAGATCAAATCTATTTGATATCGTATTTGTTGTGACATAGATTTAACTGTGGAATAATTTACATATAGTGCTCTAGAGAGTGTTGACAATAGTTGGAAGGATAATGTGGATTTGATTCAAATGTAGAAACATGCCAGAGAATGAAATAAAGTGGAACACTTATGTGGCTGTCTAAAGCATGGAAGCTCAATCTGGAGTTGGCTACACAGACAACACGTGTTTGAAGCGTTCATAATTTGTTGATTTTGGTCTAATAATTGTAATTATTTTTCTGACTGAAGAAAATGACATTTCCAACCGTGTCTATTTGATATTTATTCAGCCCCCCCCCCTTTACATTTCTGAAGGTTTATTTATCTTCCTTCTCCTCAGAGTTTTCTTTGAGGGCTGGCTGGTTTTGTTCACACAGGGACAGTCAAAAAAGCGGCAGCACAAAATGAACGGCGCTCACATGGTTTCATCTAAGGAATGGCAGCCTGTGTGCGCTCCTGCCAAACCAAACAGAGTTCCCTGTCAACATCGGCTCACATCAGTCAACAAACACTGGCGGCGGCTGCTTCCAACTTCCAGTCTGCGTAATTCAAGTGGCAACAGACGCTCAGCAATTTACGTCTCATATTGGAGTCACAGCGGCCGCATAACTGCTCTGAATATTACATTTCTTAAGTCATTACGTCGTGTTCCTGAGGTGACTGTGTGATGCATGTATTTGCAGTCAAAGCTAAAGCTGCATCTTACTATTATTGCATTATTGATTAATGTGATAATTAATTATTGAATAAATGTTGTGCGTCACGATGTCCCAAAGCTCAAGATGACATATTCAGATTACTTGTGCAGTCCAACAAACCGCACACATAACTCTCCTGACAACAACATTGAAGAAATTGGAACAAGATCTAAATACCATTTTTTTGGGGCATTTTCTTGCCAAATTTGACCAATTACTTGTTTTGAAAGACAATCAAAGGGGCCCTGTGGATATTTCCTGGCAAAATAAATTCATATTAACAAGTGTCACCAAATCCCATGGTGTGTGTACGCTCACTTCTTATATTCATTCTATCAGAACAGGTCAACGTTCAACTCCTCTTTCTTTTCCTTTCAGTGAAACTTCTTTACCCCAAACTTTCTTTCCATGGGTTCATTTTAGTGGTTAAATATAATCTCACACAAGAGGATGAGTAAATAAGCTTCTGGAGAATATCTTTTATACTCCACAGCACACTAAAGGAAGCACTCACAAAGATTTTATGGAGAGTTAAACATAATACCAGGGAGACTACTTTGTGTCGCTAAGATCAATACCAGCCTGGATCAGGTGCAGTATAAAGATCTGTAATGTTTCGAGGTAGAAATATATGCAACAAGTTCTCAACCAAAATCATTGAAGTACCAAGGAGGACACCTTTTAAAATAGAATATTAAAACCCAATAAACACTAAAACAAAATGATGTGTCTAACACATTTTTGTTGAACCTTTTTAACGTTTGCAATATGTTTTTTTCTGTTTTAACCCAAGGACGAGTGGCTCCCATCCTTGTTCACTAATCGTTTAAGCAGCAATTCAAACATATCTTTATCTGTGAGTAATTGGTGGGATCAAATCTTTTATCATCATGACAAAGGTCCAATTTGCATCTTTAAATCACACATGAAAAAAAAAAAGTGCAGCCGCCTACGAAACCAAACTGTTCCTCCGCATCTGCTTTAAATTGTTTGTCTTTCTGTTAAGTAAATCTGTGCTGATCACACGCTAATACTTGTTCAAATGTTGATGCAGACTTTTTGACTCACAGTCTGAGATATCTGTTTACAACCACTGGCACGCACACTTAGACACACATCAACACACAGACACGCACACACACACACACACACACACAAGAGCCACCCACGTGGCATTGTTCTATTCGGCTGTAGAGGTTTTAAGAGCCTTTGTCACATGGAAGAAAAACTCTGTGGCACCATATGTATGGGAAGCACGGAGGAACAGAAATGTCTGGCAGCTTCTCAGATCTTAACAAGAGTGTAAAAGAGAGAGATTTTTCTGTCCATGTGCGGACATAAAAGAAACACAAAGTCGAGCATTTAATCCGTCCTCCTATGTAGGGAGCGTTCAATGACGCTGAATTAATTTGACTGAATTGTTTGTTTGTGAGTTTTGTTTTGGGTGTATTCAGATGATAATGGAAGTGAAGAGCGCTGACAACTTTACGACTCATGTTGAAAATTAAATATATCCACTGGCTGCACTTTGGTCTACTTCATCATAAACAGGAAAATAGAGAGGAGGTTGGCGGGTTCGAGTTTTACACCAAAACAAGTCAATTTGTTTCAAGTCTCTGACTGATTGACAGCCTGCACTGTAATTTGAGAGACAGCAGAGAACAACCTGAGTGTATAATGCATTGCAAACAGACAGGAAGAAGGATGAGTTAAAAGGGGGCCAGCTGATGTGGTCATTTGTTTTGCGCAAAAGAACCTTCAATTAGGTATCTTTATATGATGCAGCTGAAGGGAGAGGGGGGCATGGAGAAATTAGAGGAATGTAGATGGATTACAATCTGAAACACTCAGGAGACACTGAGAATAATAACGACGGATAAAATGTGATCTAAAATGTTATTCTCTGGGAAATTTATGCTTGTGTTTTTGTGCTTGTTATGGGTCTTCACACATCTTCACGGCCATGTTTTATGTAGAAAAAAAGCTCAATGCGTTCACATAATGAGCAACACAGATTCTTGAGCTGTTAATAATAATTAGAACATCAAAACAGGGCTTCTCCTGTCGTAATGGTTTACTACATTTGTTTTTATTTTGTCAGATAACTGTGCTCCATTATTTCAGTATCTGGACCTTAAATGAACCCAACCACTGGCTTTACAGATATTTAACAGCAGAAAAAAAAGATAACTGGGCAACTGAGGTAGGGAAAAAATAGAGAGAATAAAGATTATGTTGATGGCATAATGTCAAGCAGACGGCCTTTGAGCTCTACAGCACATATCTTCTTTTCTCCCCTCCTGCTCTCGGTCTGTCAGTAAGTCTCTCAGGATTGCATGTTTTCATTCACCGGTTGTGAGGTTCCTGCGCATTGTGCACACAATGCACAAATATGCTGCCTGCTGAGCAGGGCTTCAGGGGAGATTTTTTTTTTTTTCCTCCTGCACAGTTTTGTCTTACATCCATGGCAACCAACCTGTGCGCCCTGTGGGGCAGACCTCAAATAAAACTGAGAAACAGAGCCCACTTTGAATCAGCTGTTCAGATGCCTGAGAGAGTGTCTGGGGAGAAGTGCTCAAATCACTGCATAAAGGTCTGAGATCACAGGATCAAAGGAATGCCCTTCTATGGTACAAACTTTGATTCAAAGACGTGTTTGGAAAGCGGTGTATTACCTTGTACTGACTGCAAAACTGAACAATATACTTAAGCTTATGTGAAGTATCAAATCTGCCTCTCATTATGTGAAGTAAGAAGTGAGGATTTGTTTAGAGCTTGCCATCTTCTTGCCAAACTTCGAAACTGAATTCAAAGACAAGCACCAGCACACATAAAGTAGGGATAAAATGTAAATAACTTTGCTTTTGCATGAGCAGCTACATCACAGGAGTAACTGAACAGGGATTAGCATTAGGGGACGGCTGATATTGATTTTTCGGGAAGCTAGTGATACCGATTATTAGTAGTTCATGAGACCGATAACCCATATTTGGAATCGATATGCCTTTACTGTAAAAAGGAAAATCTTTCAGGCAAAGCTAATACAGGATGAACTAATAGTCATGTGACATCTAGCTAGATAGTCTTGTTGGCGGTGAGA